TGTTGCCGCTCGTTGCTGCCCGAGCCTGTGCTGCCTGTTGCTGCCTGTTCCTGCCCGTGCCTGTGCTGCCCGTTGCCGCCCGTTGCTGCCCGTGCCTGTGCTGCCTGTTGCCGCCCGTTGCTGCCCGAGCCTTTGCTGCCTGTTGCTGCTTGTTGCTGCCCGTGCCTGTGCTGCCCGTTGCCGCCCGTTGCTGCCTGTGCCTGTGCTGCCCGTTGCCGCCCGTTGCTGCCCGTGCCTGTGCTGCCCGTTGCCGCCCGTTGCTGCCCGTGCCTGTGCTGCCCGTTGCCGCCCCTTGCTGCCCGTGCCTGTGCTGCCTGTTGCTGCCCGTTGCTGCCCGTGCCTATGCTGCCTGTTGCCGCCCGTTGCTGCCTGTGCCTGTGCTGCCCGTTGCTGCCTGTTGCTGCCTGTTGCCGCCTGTTGGTGCCCGTGCCTGTGCTGCCCGTTGCCACTCGTTGCTGCCCGAGCCTGTGCTGCCTGTTGCTGCCTGTTGCTGCCCGTGCCTGTGCTGCCCGTTGCCGCCTGTTGCTGCCCGTGCCTGTGCTGCCCGTTGCCGCTCACTGCTGCCCGAGCCTGTGCTGCCTGTTGCTGCCTGTTGCTGCCCGTGCCTGTGCTGCCCGTTGCCGCCCGTTGCTGCCCGTGCCTGTGCTGCCTGTTGCCGCTCTGCTGCTATCCGCGCCCTTGTGCGCTCTGGTCTGCCTGCGCCCTCGTGCGCTCTCCTGCTGCCCGCGCCCTCGTGCGCCCTGCTGCTACCCGCGCCCTCGTGCGCTCTGTTTTGCTCTGTCGCCCCTTGCCCCCCCCCCCCCTCCCCCCCCCTTCTTCGTCTCCTTGCTGCGCGTGCAGCCGTGGAACGGAGGCTATGGGGGTGGCGAGTATGGGGGTGATGGGTGTGTGTGATCCCCTTCCCCTCTTCCTCCTTTCTCTCCCACTGCTGCAGCTGCCGTTGGGGGGGGGTGGGTGTGAGGGTGTGGGGGAGCTGGGGGAGAGGTGCTAGGGTTGTCAAGGAGTGTGGAAGGGGGAGTTGGAGGACTGAGGAAGGTTCCAGGAAGCAGCTGCCTTGGAGCCAGCAGCTTCACCTGCCAGTAGCCTATCCTCATATAGTCCCTCCTCCTCACTTGCCCTCTCCTTCTGCTGCGCTTGGTGTACCCCTTCAGGGGGTGTCTCTGCATTAGCTTCTGCTGCAAGCAGTTATGGGGGAGTGTCAGAATATATCCGTAACTGCCTGTAGCTGTAGTTTGTGTAGTTATTATAAACTTTGTTTGGTGGTGCACCTTCCTTGTTTCCTTTGCTATATGTTCTTGCAAACCTATAGTGAAGCTACTCTTTCTCTTTTCAACTTTCTCGACACTCTCCTCAACCCTAAACTCGATCTCTAAGAACCTAACTAAACTATGGCTCCTAAGCCCACCTATGCTTAGTATCTCAACAGAGTAGAAGCTGGCGGAGAAGTTGGCGCTGCGATGAACTTCTCGTGGTGTTGGGTATAGTTGTTGCGCTGGTGTTGGTGGTGTTTCGTCAATGTGGAGTGGTGTCGTTGAAGGACCAGCAACTCGTGTTGATATTCCTGCTGCTGCCGTTGATGGTTCTGCTGCTGTCGATGTTGTTTCTGCTGCTGCCGATGTTGTCTCTGCTGCTGTCGACGTTGTCTCTGCTGCTGCCGATGTTGTTTGAATCGTTGCTAACGCCCTTGCTCTTTCTGCTTTAGAGATGGTGTGTGAATACCAGAAGCCTTCTAGACTGAAGTCTGGGTCAAGGTCCCGAGGATGTGTCCAGTCGGTGAAGTTCACGATGGCGTCGCTGTCGGCAGTGCCAAGATCGGGGACGAAGTCAAGAACGAAGACGTTCTTGAGGACCGCCCTACCGATGTAGAGTCCTCCTCTCCCGTAATACAGCTTGAATTCTTGAGTGGTAGTGTCTGCTTCGAGATGAATCCCCTTCGACATCAGCTGGCTGACGCTCAGTAAATTGTAGCCGAGTCCCTCCGCGATTAGTACCTTTGACATCTGTAGTACGACGTTTGTTTCCCTTGACTGAAGTTGAACTACGCCTTGTCGTCTTGTTCGCAGGTTTTGATTGTTGGCGACTGTGATGACTACTTCACGTCGAAGCTGGTGTTCTCGTTGAACGAAGCGTCCTGAGGAACACATGTGCTGTCCGCAGCAGCTGTCCAAGAACCAAGTGTCCCTTCCGGATGGCTCGCTTTGGGCGATGGCGGCGTATGTCGGGTTCGGCTGAAGTGACTCGCGGCGGGGTGTGGTTTCGTCGAGTCGTTCTTCTGGTGAGTAGTACGGTGGTGACTCGGTGATGCAGGAGTCTCTTATCTTTGCCATGCAGTTGACGATGTTTCTTGCTCCTTGTGCAGGTTGTCCTGTTGAAGTCGTTGAAGCTTGAATCTGAGTCGTGGGATTTGCTTGCGTTGAGGTGACTTGGATGCTTGAAGGCCGAAGTTGTCGCTATGGTGTTGTCGATTGTTGACGATTCGGGCAGTGCGTGCGCGGGTGTCCTGAAGTTTTGCAGATGTGGCAGAACGGAGGTACTGGCTTCAGTTGTTGCTGCCGATTGTTGTTGTTGTTGTAGCGTCGCTGGGTGTGGAGCGCGAACTATGGTGCTGACGTCTTCCTTTTATGTCGTTCTTCTTGCAGGTCCATGTCTTGCTGCTCAGCATGGATTTCGGCGCAGAGCGCTGCTTCGGAGATTCTCCCGTGAGCTCGGAGGATGGCCTTTGTGGCGCGCCATTGAGGACCGAGGCCGCCGATGATGACTGTCACGAAGGCGTCTTCAGAAATCGACCCTCCGTATCGAAGAAGCTTGTCACGCAATTCGCAACATCGACTGATATACGCCAGTCCTTTCTCCCCTGGTTTCATTTCAACTGTTGTCAGTTGCGCCATTAACTGGCTTTTACTTACACTGTCTATTGCTTGATACAGGCTCTTCAGGTGGTTGTACGCGAGCTCTGCGGAGTTACCGTAACCTCGGTAGGTCCTTATGTTCTACTGTTGAGTCGGGGTGATATTTCTCAGTAGAATCGTGTACGCCATCATTGACTGATAGGTGTACTGCTGCTTCTCGTACTGTGTGCCGTTTATTGGGTATGGCAGGGACCCGTCGAAGAACCCGAGTATCTGCGCGCCTTCCATCATCAGCTCAAACTCGAACGACCAGGTGAAGAAATCCTTTCCGTCAAAAGGTCTTGACGTCTGCATCTTCATAACATGTGCGAACTGCGACTGAACTTGCAGTGTGTCCAGTTGTTTTTCTTGTCTAGGTAAGGGCTGTGGTTGTGGCATGAAGCTGATGGATCCGCGCTCGTACGGAGCAAAGGTAGGCTGTTGTTGCTAATTTCCTCGTGCATACGATGAGCCGTCGAGACTCATGGGTGTTGCTCCGTTGTTGTTGCTGTTGTGTGATTGCGCAGGTGCCGATTGCTGGTGTTGCTCGTAGAAGGACATGAAGGAGAAGAATTTCTCCATCATGCTCTGGTCGAAGTCTGCGGGATGAGGAGCAGGAGTCTCAGTAGATGTTACTCTGGGTCTTGTTGCCGTGCCCTCCTCTGTCTGTAGGCCAGAGGCAGGAGGTGGAGTAGGAGTAGTGCCCTGGGATCCGTTGGAGTTGCTCCTTCCCTTTTGTGTAGCCATGCTGGTTGATACTGTTGGTATATAAGTCGAATTCTCCCTGATAGCTCTCATACCATGTCGGGCTGAAAAGCCCTTAGGATCTTTGCAGAGGTAAATTCTAGGTAGAGTTAATGTTGTAGCGGAAGCGTATAATAAGAAGTTTTGTGAACCACCTTGCGCTAGTATGTGAGGGCAAAGTGAATTGATTAAAGCAAATGGATACAAGGTTATGTATGAGTACAGGGAATATGAAGAGACACAGTTGTAACTACTTCACTGTTGCTGTTGCGGTTCGATACAGTGACGACTCGGGCAACTGCTCTGTAACGAGTCAGTTGTGTGTCCTTGCTATCGTACTGTATTTGTCAGGTCAAAGGTCGCTGACCTTTGACTTTCGCGTAACCTCCAGCGGTTACTTCAACCTCCGAGGGTTGACTCGCTAGTGCCTCGGTATACTCTGCTTCGCTTGTGCCTTAGTGTTTCGACACGACAGAGGCGCTTAGGAACGACTGTTTCCAACACCAACCACAAGCCAACTGCCTCGCCACCGCCCGCCATCCATGACTCGCCCTGCATCGGAGCCAATCATCGAGCCCGAAAAAATCCTGAGCCATCGGATTTGACACCCCACGGGACTCAAGAGGATTGAATTCTTCGTCCGCTGGAAGGATCGCACGCCAACTGAGGACAGCTGGGTGCCCCTGGCCAACATCGAAAACCACCCTGCCCTGCAAGTGTACCTGAGGAGTCGGGGATTCCGCGATATACACGCACTCACGTAGCGGAGGGGGCTTCTCGAGGGGGGGGGGGGGGGGTAGTGTAAGGAATTTTCTCGACATTCCTTAAGGAACCCGACTACATCGCGTACAGCAACAGCTGTTGTTCGCCCGTTACTGCTAACGGGGCTTCGCCGACTTCGCGCACACTGTTTTCACCAAACCTCGCACTGCTGGCATGGCCGTTTCGGCCTACGCTTGGGGACTAGCCCAAGCCTCGCTCCAGCGTAGCACTAGCTAGCTCGCACGCACCGCGTTACCATTTGCATGTTTCGCGTATAAATGTTCGCTCATGCCTTCGCTCACATTTTGTACTCGTTTGACGCCTTAGTGCAATTCTCGCTACTTCGATTCATTGCACCCGTAACAAGTCTTCGCACCACACAAGAAAACGTCACACGGGTCGTTGGCGAAGGGACGAGAGCCGTGAACGACGTCGCAAACGGCAACTTCTGTTTCGGGCGAACGTCACTGGTCGCCCAAGGACGTCCCCTACGAAACCAACTTCCACTCCACACCATTTTCTGCTTTTGCCTTTGTTCCATTCGCCGCTGTTGCCTCCGTCCACTCCCAATCCCCGGCTGCCCAGGCGACCCAGCGAGCCGACACCATGGACGCGATTTTCGCGCGGCTTTTCCCCGCTCCCAAGGGCCCGCACCCGCAGGGGAATGGCGCTCCCGATGGGCGCGGAAAGGATGGGCGCAGCGGGGCGAAAGCGAGTAACGAGGGCGTTCTGCGCACTGGACTGCTGGCCGGTAAGGAGTACGCGGAATTGCGACGCTGGATCGCTGGCCGGTAATGTTTCTGCGCGACTGCGACCCTGGATTGCTGTCTGGCAATGATTACGCGACGCGGGTGTGCGACGATGGGTTGGGTTACGCGCGATTGCGACGATGGCTCGGCGGCAGTAGAATTACGGATCACCCCCCTGCCTCGCACCCTTCCTCCGCCCCGTATCGTACGGGCCTTCCTCGCCTTCAACCCCCATCGCAGACCGCCCGCTCCTCCTTCCTCCCCTCTCACCCATCGTCACTCACTCTCCTATTTTCCGTCTCTCTCTATTCCTTCAATTACCTCCCCCTCTGCGTCCCCTCTCTCTCCCCTCTCCCCCCGCCTCTCCACTCACGTCTCCCACCCCACTCTCCCGCGCTCGCCGCTCGCTCCTCCGCAGTGGGCGCTGATTTCCCCCTCTAAGCCTCTCTGCCTTTCTGCTCACCGTTTCCCTCCATCCCTCCTCCCTCCCTCCCTCCCTCCCTCCCTCCCTCCCTCCCTCCCACCCTCCCTCCCTCACTCTGTCCCCTCCCACCCTCCCTCCATCACTTCCCGCCTCCCTCGTTTCCCTCCCCCTTTCCCTCCTTCACTCCTCCCCTCCTCCCACACTCTCTCCCCAGCGTCCGCCTTCGCAGCGGGCTCTGGCCTGCTGCTCGCCGCACACCACCGCACCTCACCACTCGCCCTCGCAGCCGACCCCACCGACACGCAGCAGCAGGTGCGTGCGGTACGGTACGGTACCCATGCCAAATCTCTCACCTCAAATCACATCCATCCATCCATCCATCCATCCCCTTCACGTGGCAGACACTCAACAGACCAGCTCGTTTCTCTGGCCCAATCACTTGAGGCTCGTCAGTATTCGTCCTCCACTTACCCGTTCCCCGAGGGCACCTCATAATCCGTCCCTTGTATCACCCGATCCCGTTCACATCGATAATGTTCGTTGCGCATCCTCCTCCATCAAACCATGTTCGTTGTTCACCTCCCCAATGCACGCACACTCCTCCTGTACTCCCGCGCGCCCCACACCCTCCCCTCCCCCCTCCCCTCCCAGGCCTCCACCATGCTGCCACTTGGCAGCCTCGCAGTGGCCGTGGCTGACGTGGCAGCAGAAGCGCTGCCAACGGTGCGTGAGCCGGGCACAGGCGTGGAGTTCCCCGTGTTGCTGAGCGATGCGGGGGAGGGGGCGGGGGAGGGGGAGAAGGCGGAGAAGGAGGGGAAGAAGGGGAAGAAAGGGGGGAAGGAGGGGAAGGCGGTGGCGGGGGATCGCACGCTGGCGGGCGTTGGAGTGCGCAACAAGAACCTGCTGGGGCTGAAGAACATCAAGGTGTATGCCTATGGTGAGTGGTGAGCATGCACGAGGTAAGGGCTGAGGGGCACACACACAGCCGGGCAGCGGCGTGGAGTTCCCCGTGGTGCTGAACGACGAGGGGGGGGGAGGGGGAGGGCAAGGGGGAAGGGGGGAAGGAAAGGGGGGCGGGAAGAGGCCGAGAAGGAGGGGAAGAAAAGTGAGAAGGAGGGGAAGACGTCTGATCGCACTCTGGCGGGGGTTGGAGTGCAAAACAAGAACCTGCTGGGGCTGATGTTGGCATTGGCGCAGCGTCTTTGACGCTAGCGTCTGGACGCTTGACACACAATCCTGTTTTTTTTTTACGCAGTTTTGACGCTCGGGCGGGCAGCGGGAAAAATCGTTCGGGCAGCGAGCAGCAATCTAAAGCCGTAGGAACAGGAAATAGGCATTGTAACCTTATTTTTTGTCAGAAGCTTGTGAAGGGAAGAGTGACGACTTCAATTGGTGTGACTGGTCTTGGTAAACCTAGTTGGTTGGAGTTTCTAGTTGCATAGGAGTACAATGTGGTGTCGGGGATGTCTTTGTGTTTCTGTTTTGTGAGGGGTGTTCAATGTCGAATTGACATTCCAAGTCGTGATTTCGTCGCGAAATCGCAAGTCGGTTTATTTTTTCCGCGCAATTTTGGGCTGTTCGGAATTTAAAAAAGGACAAGTGTCAAGCGTCAAAACGCGCATTAGGTGTTTTGCGTCAAAACGCTTGACACAACCCCTCCAGAGCGTCAATCCTAACATACATCAAGGTGTATGCTTACTGTGAGTGCCTCCTCCAAGGGGTATGCACGAGGGGGTGGATGCATGAGGGGCACACCCACACAGCCTTTACCCCTGAACCCAATCCTCACGCATCTTCCCTCCCCCTCCCCCTCCCCCTCCCCCTCCCCCTCCCCCCACCGCCAGGCGTGTTCGTGGACGAGGCGGCACTGAAGAAGCAGCTGAGCAGCAAGTACGGGGGCATGAAGGGGGAGGCGCTGAGAGGAACGCAGAGTGAGTGTGCACCCTTACCCTGCCCCGTGACCACCCCGCCTGCTTTCCTCTCCCCGCATCCTTAGGCGTATACGTGGACCAAGCGGCACTGAAGAAGCAGCTGAGCAGCAAGTACGGGGGCATGAAGGGGGAGGCGCTCAAAGGCAGCCGGTGGCTCGTGGAGGACGCCATCACCGCTGACGTCACCATGGCCGTGCGCCTCGTCATCTTCTATAGGTGACGATTCCTGATGACGTGTCAATTGTGACGTCACTGCTGACGTCACCATGGCTGTGCGCCTTGTCATCTTCTGCGACGCCCGATGACGTGTCATTCACGACATGCCATCACTATTTATTTCTTCCATGCACCTCCTGCCATGCATCCTGCCAGGTGACGAGGTGGTGTTTCACGCGACTCACAAGTCCCCTCCCCTTTGGTGGCAAGCACATGATGATGGAGCACGTGCAGGCAGGCCGCGTTCAACGAGCAATCAGACGACACGCCCACTCAAAACTCCCCTCCCATCCCCGCCCCTCCCCTCCCCTCCCCTCCCCTCCTCTCCCCTCCCCTCTCATCCCCTCCCCTCCCCTCCCCTCCTCTCCCCTCCCCTCTCATCCCCTCCCCTCCCCTCCCCTCCTCTCCCCTCCTCTCTCATCCCCTCCCCTCCCCTCCCCTCCCCTCCTCTCCCCTCCCCTCTCATCCCCTCCCCTCCCCTCCCCTCCTCTCCCCTCCCCTCTCATCCCCTCCCCTCCCCTCCCCTCCTCTCCCCTCCCCTCTCATCCCCTCCCCTCCCCTCCCCTCCCCTCCCCTCCCCTCCCCTCTCATCCCCTCCCATCCCCTCCCATCCCCACCCCTCCCATCCCCACCCACCCCCTCTGCGGGCAGGCATCTGAAGATGGGGCAGGTGCGCGAGGCGTTCAACGATTCGCTTGGGGGGCGCATGAAGGAGCTCAGTGGGGGCGTGCCGCAGACGGAGCTGCTGCACAGGTAAGAAAGGATGGCTTCGAGCCGCTGCAAGCCTACTAAGAGTCTAGATCGATCCACACTACATGCCGGAGCTGCTGCACAGGTGAGCGCGGATGGCATGGCATGGCACGGCACGCGCACAACATTGCGTTTTTACCATTTACTTGGTTGGTGCATGCTCGTTGGTGCTTATCATGTGCATCGGGGCTCGGCTTGTATGCTAGCGCACACAAGGGCACATGAAGAGGCTGAGTGGGGGGGTGCCGACTGACCTGCTGCACAGGTGAGTGAATGCTGGGGGCATGCATGCTGGTGCTCATTATGTGCATGGGGCATGCATGCTGGTGCTCATTATGTGCATGGGGCATGCATGCTGGTGCTCATTATGTGCATGGGGCATGCATGCTGGTGCTTATTATGTGCATGGGGCATGCATGCTGGTGCTCATTATGTGCATGGGGCATGCATGCTGGTGCTTATTATGTGCATGGGGCATGCATGCTGGTGCTCATTATGTGCATGGGGGCATGCATGCTGGTGCTCATTATGTGCATGGGGGCATGCATGCTGGTGCTTATTATGTGCATGGGGCATGCATGCTGGTGCTCATTATGTGCATGGGGCATGCATGCTGGTGCTCATTATGTGCATGGGGCATGCATGCTGGTGCTCATTATGTGCATGGGGCATGCATGCTGGTGCTCATTATGTGCATGGGGCATGCATGCTGGTGCTCATTATGTGCATGGGGCATGCATGCTGGTGCTCATTATGTGCATGGGGCATGCATGCTGGTGCTTATTATGTGCATGGGGCATGCATGCTGGTGCTCATTATGTGCATGGGGCATGCATGCTGGTGCTTATTATGTGCATGGGGCATGCATGCTGGTGCTCATTATGTGCATGGGGGCATGCATGCTGGTGCTCATTATGTGCATGGGGGCATGCATGCTGGTGCTTATTATGTGCATGGGGCATGCATGCTGGTGCTCATTATGTGCATGGGGCATGCATGCTGGTGCTCATTATGTGCATGAGGCATGCATGCTGGTGCTCATTATGTGCATGGGGCATGCATGCTGGTGCTCATTATGTGCATGGGGCATGCATGCTGGTGCTTATTATGTGCATGGGGGCATGCATGCTGGTGCTCATTATGTGCATGGGGGCATGCATGCTGGTGCTCATTATGTGCATGGGGGCATGCATGCTGGTGCTCATTATGTGCATGGGGCATGCATGCTGGTGCTCATTATGTGCATGGGGCATGCATGCTGGTGCTCATTATGTGCATGGGGCATGCATGCTGGTGCTTATTATGTGCATGGGGCATGCATGCTGGTGCTCATTATGTGCATGGGGCATGCATGCTGGTGCTTATTATGTGCATGGCGCATGCATGCTGGTGCTCATTATGTGCATGGGGGCATGCATGCTGGTGCTCATTATGTGCATGGGGCATGCATGCTGGTGCTCATTATGTGCATGGGGCATGCATGCTGGTGCTCATTATGTGCATGGGGCATGCATGCTGGTGCTCATTATGTGCATGGGGCATGCATGCTGGTGCTCATTATGTGCATGGGGCATGCATGCTGGTGCTCATTATGTGCATGGGGCATGCATGCTGGTGCTCATTATGTGCATGGGGCATGCATGCTGGTGCTCATTATGTGCATGGGGCATGCATGCTGGTGCTCATTATGTGCATGGGGGCATGCATGCTGGTGCTCATTATGTGCATGGGGGCATGCATGCTGGTGCTCATTATGTGCATGGGGGCATGCATGCTGGTGCTCATTATGTGCATGGGGCATGCATGCTGGTGCTCATTATGTGCATGGGGCATGCATGCTGGTGCTCATTATGTGCATGGGGCATGCATGCTGGTGCTCATTATGTGCATGGGGCATGCATGCTGGTGCTCATTATGTGCATGGGGCATGCATGCTGGTGCTCATTATGTGCATGGGGCATGCATGCTGGTGCTCATTATGTGCATGGGGGCATGCATGCTGGTGCTCATTATGTGCATGGGGGCATGCATGCTGGTGCTTATTATGTGCATGGGGCATGCATGCTGGTGCTCATTATGTGCATGGGGCATGCATGCTGGTGCTCATTATGTGCATGGGGCATGCATGCTGGTGCTCATTATGTGCATGGGGGCATGCATGCTGGTGCTTATTATGAGCATGGGGGCTTTCCCTGTGTGTTAGAGCTCTAAAGCCCCGTGAAGGGCCTATGTGGACCGGCGTGCATGTTGGTGCTGATCATGTGTAGGAGCTGAGTGGGGGTGGGGGCTTGCAGGGCTGGACAATGATGGCATGGCAGTCTGTCTGGGTGCGCGGATGGGCATGCGGCTTGCATGCAGTGCTAGACCGCGTTTGGTCTCCGGGTAGGAACACACGTGACCGCGTCTGCTACAAAGTTTATTGCAGAGGTTCCTTTTGAGGCGCGGTGGAAATATCTGGCAGAGAATCCTCACCACGAGGCCAGGCCAAAACCCTTTTTCGAATCCAATTCTAAAGCACATTAGGCTGCCTGCCAGGAGCTGACATGACTGCTACAAACATCTCCACGGGAGAGGGATGAGTGTGATGCTGGAGCGGTGCTTGCTGCTAGACTCCTTTCCCCCCTTCCTCTTCCCCCCTCCCCCTTCCCCCCTCCCCCAAACACCACTCACCCCACCTCATCCCACCCCACCCCACCCCAACCCGCCCTCCCCAGTTTCACCAAGTGGTTCACAAATGACATCAAGCTGCATCGGGGCACGGTCATTGACATCACTCGCCGCCCAGGCCATGTGCTAGAGACAAAGAGTGAGTCTGCTAGGTCTAAGAGATGCCGCCCAGGCCATGTGCTAGAGACAAAGGGTGGGTCCGCTTGGGCTGGAGGCAAAACGTGAGTCTGGTTGGGCTAGAGGCAAAAAACCAGTCTGGAAGAGAGACAGCGAGCAACTCTTGTAGTGCCAAGGGATGCCGCACAGGCCACACGATAGCGAGTGAACACGCCGGCACAAGGGGAAGGCTGCAGGACGGAGTCGCCATGCCGGCAGAGTTTTTTTAGAATTCTCAAAAAACACCAGCAGTATTCCCCCCATGAGGCATCGCTCTTGCCATGAGCCATCACTTTCCTTGTTGACGGAGCAGCACTGGACAAGCATAAATGTGGAGCAAGAAACCAACCTCAAGTCTCACTGGTTTGTGCTAACCACACACTGCAGCACTTCTCACGTTCACCCTTTCCTTGCCGCTTTGCTCCGATCGACAATTCGCCTGTACAGGATTTTGCTGCTACTGCACTTGTACCTAATTCCCATTCACTTCCATTCCCCCCTCTCATTCCCTCTCATTCTCTACCAGTCTCTCATCCTCTTTCTGCAACTCTCCCACTCCCTCTCCCACCCCCACCCCCCCATGCAACATCCTCCCTTGCACCAGTTGACGGCAAGTACATGGGATCCACTAAGAGCGCGCTTATATCGCGGGCGCTCTTTGAGCTCTATGTGGGGGACAAGCCATTCGACAAGAAGGCGCGCGAGGGGCTGGTGGACAAACTCATTTCCGTCGTGCACTCGTAGACAACTCCTGGAGCACCCGTGAAACACTTCTGTGCTAGAGCACTCCTAGGAGCCACCACTTGGCGTCGTCAGGGCTCAGCTGAGCAGCATTGTTGCGAGCTCCAGCAACTAATGCAGTACCGTACACATCAAAGGTTACGGTATTTAATATTTAATAAGGGACCCTAGAAAGGGCTTTAGGCCCCGTTGGAGGTCCGACGACTAAGGTTGGTTGATTGGGGAATGTGTGGTGTGGGGCAGAGATACCGGTGGTAACCCATTAGTTTCAGCGCTCTCGTACACCCATGTCTTTCAGTGTACGGTACCTGCACCTACTGTCTGCGTTTTAGCAAATCCACACCCTGGAGCACTCAGCAATCATGCGATACTGGTAGCTACTGCCTCTGGTACTCAGCTCTTGATCTAGGTCGGCGCAGCAAACAGGTCGTTCGCCAATAAATGACGGGCTGAACTTTCGAGTTGATAGGTGACAGACCGGTCTTTTTTCTCTCACAAAGTGGGATACTGTAAGTTGGGTTCTCTCTCAGAGACTGGAATCCTGTAAGTTGAGGAATGAAATAGAGATGGGACGATTCTGCGTTCAGTCAACATGTCACTGAACTTGTGCATTATCCACGCACTCTTTGATTACAACTCATAACAAACTAGGTATACACCGTAACGTATTCACGATATCTTTCGCAGCTTCTGGCTGCTTCGGAGCAGCGGCACCTGCGCTGAAGACGACAACAGGCAGGCACCTCCAGCGGAGCCTGTGCAGAGCACACGACACGCTCAAATGCTCCAATGAAATTGGAGCCATCGTTGCCTGAAATTATCAAGCTTGAATGCTGGTCCAATCTCCGTGCTCTGCGCGGCGACGATGACGGTTTGGATTTGACACGCTGTTCATGCAAGGCTGCCCGACTGACCCCTAAAGTTTCCCGACTTGTCTGTGTATCTTGTGTTCAGACTGGACACCTCTTCTAGTGCTGATATTCACCCAGTTTTGCAAAGCAGATCGACGTCAACCCTTGGCAGGTGAGACTCTATGAAATACCTGAAGCTTTTCCCACCCCAACAGTACGCCTGGCAGTTCTACAGTAACCTCCTCAACCTCGGCACACCCACCAGATACCCCGCCAAGTGCGTCCACCTGAAGCAGGGCATTCAAATCTGCTGACAGCGCATTCTCAACTCAAATGTTTCCCGCAGCGCGCAAATCTTGGAAGCAGAGCATTCAAGTCCATGCCTCACGGAACCAAGGCATTTTGCAGCGTTTTGTTTGAAAGCGGCACCGTACTGAACGGCTTCATAACCACTCGCTTTGTTGAGAAACCCATTCCTGCCAAGCATTAACACCGCTCGGCTGCTCATTTCTGTAATTGAGCATTCATTCTGTATTTTCACCTCACAAGCAAAATCTATCAATTCACCAGCTAGTTGTTCACTCCGCAATGGGGCTCCAACATTACCATGGCGTGACGATAGTTTTCCTAGTCATCGCCGCATGTTTCAGCGGTGAGTGTCGCGGCATTTGTACCTGCGGTTGTAAAATCTCTGAAAGCCACTTCTGCAGGAAATTCATCCCTTGAATCTCATTTGGTCCTCTGAACTCTTATCTTTCACAAGCTTACTCATTCCATACGTGACGTTGTCTTCCACGTGCGCAGCCACAAACTCGGCGCCCGCCCCTCCCGACGAGGCGGCCCTTCAAGACGCGCTCGCGTCCTTAAAGAACTCGTTGGTCGTCGTGAACATGAATAAACCCACTGGCGCGGGTCCCTGCCCGTTGCCCAAGACCGAAAAAGCTCAAGCTCTTGGAAATCTGACGGGTGAGAGGCTTTTGCGAATCTCGCCTGGAAGTTACCCTGGGGCCAGTTTTAGAAACATTATGTGGGGATGAATTTAAGGGATAAACTTTAAAATTGCTGGCATTAGCCCTCAAATAGCTTCATCATACAGTCACACACCCAGGCCGCATGTCTTCCCGTTCTTCAAGAAGTAACTTCGCTCCTCAGAATATCCGTCCTTTGTTTGCCCTCCTTCCCACTTTCATTCTTTTCACACTTTTCCAACCACCTCTGCTCTCTCCCCCATGTTCCACCGCTCCCCCCTCCGCGCAGAGATTCTCGCTGCGCGATTGAACGGATCCAGAGTTGTTGGGTCCATGGGCGACGCCGGCGCCAGCGGTCGAATCTGCCTAGCCATCTATGAGTAAGCCGCTGCGCCGGCCAGCAAGAATAGTTGACCCAATCACAGCTCGTCTTCCTCACGAACCCCGCCGGCCAGTTGGTTTTAAGCCTCAGCTCGTCTGTTCCAGTCGGTGTTTTCATCTCTCTTAGCGATCAGTGATGTTTTCGCTTCTCTGTTCAGAGCGAGCGACTCTTTCATCTCTGAGCGATGCTTTCATCTCTGAGCGAGGCTTTCATCACCTTGAGCGATGCTTTCATCTCCGAGCGACTCTTTAATCTCTGAGCGGTGTTTTCGTCTCTCAGCGATGCTTTCATCTCCCAGAAGTGATGCTTTGATCTCCCTCACTGATGCTTTCATCTCCCTCCCAATGCGAACCCCGTCATTCTTTCTTCTTCCGGTCCCTTGTGGCGAACGTTGACTGAATCCGTCAGGCTAGACGGAGACTACAACGTCTTCTACCATGTCATCGTCTCCACCTCCAAACCGGGTGTACCGATCTCCACCTTCATCGGGCAAGGCGCGGGAGGAAAGGCGGGAACCACCGTTCTCGAGATTGCCAGAGCCAGAGCCACGTGGAAAAATAAAACTGTTCCGCGGCCTTCCCCTCTAACGAAGGACCCGAAATACAAGTTCATACCTACATACACCTATGCCTTGACGGGGACGTGGCTTAAAACGAGTACGCTGTCAACATTGCCGAATGGCAAGACTGTTAAGGAGCTGGTGGATGCCATGATGACAGCAAAGGGGTACTATGGGGGATTCGCAACGGCGGCTTTTAAGGCGGGAGCAGCGAGAGGGCAGTTCAAGAAAGACCCCCTCCCACCAGCACCTGCGGGGAAAGAGGGAGACAAGAATGAGACACTCGTCCTAGTTGGTAATAACTCTTTTGCTCTTCCACAGTTTCTGCAGCACTATATTCGAGTCCGTTGATCTCTTGCTCATTGATTTTGTCTCTTCCAGCTTCGCTCAAGCCCCTCACATTCTCTCACCATCTCTCCCTCACCCTCACCTTTGAATTTCACTCACATAATTGTTCAGGGGTGGTGGGGACTAAACTTGGGGACGAGAATGTTCACTCCAAGTCTGCTGGTGACATGTACGGTGCAGGCTGCGTTACTATCGCTGCCTTCCTGTAAGCCTCTCCTCCATTCCCTCCTCCCCTCTCTTCCCCTCTCGCACTCTCACTGTTCCCACTTTGCTTCCCTCTCTCTCTCTCTCTCTCTCTCTCTCTCTCTCTCTCTCTCTCTCTCTCTCTCTCTCTCTCTCTCTCTCTCTCTCTCTTACCCTCTGCTCCCTTCTCCCCTCCATTCTGCCTTCACCCTCACACATTTCCCTCCCTTCTCCTTCAATATCTCACACGCCCCTCCTTTCTCCCCTCACTCTGACATTCTCCCCTCCTTTTCTCACCCTGCTCCCTCACCCTCCCTTCCCTTATCCCCTCACTTCCCCCTTCTCTCGCTTACAATCCCTCTGGTCTCCCCCCATCCTCTCATACTCCTGACCCTCCTCCTCCCCTCCCCTCTTCGGCCCACTCTCTCACCCTTTCCTCCTTCCCTCGTTCTCACACCCTCCTCCTCCCCTAATTCTCTCCCCATCTCATCCTCCTCGCACCCATTCCTTCTTCCCCGCTCTTCTCACCCTTCCCCTTTCCCATTTGGATTCGCAACCTGTCTCCCTCCATACGCGCCTACCCGTCCTCCCCCCACTGTCCCCCTCCTTGCCCGTCCTTGTCTCCCCTTCCCCCTCATTGCCAACCAACCACCCCTCTCAGCAACACCACCACTAACGACTATTACATTCGCTACCGCATTGGCGTGAATACAAGCGACCCGGATGGGCCCACCGAGGTACTCTTAGCCCAGGGCTATTATGTGCCATTCATGCTGGTCAACAGGGGTGACACATGGACCAAACACACAGTCCCGGATGCTAATGTAACTGGCGGGTACATGTACGAATTCACCGGCAGTATTCCTGGGACGTACAAGGCATTGATGAATGGACTGCTGGCTGCACCACAAGATTTCTCTGCTGTTCTCATCACCAACTATTTTGACCTTGGTGCGCTGAGGGGTTGGTTTGTCAATAGTACTCTGGCGGGAGAGAATGGGTGCGCCATTGTCTAGGGGGGTAAAAAGCAACAACCAGAGCACTGAGACATGATGCATGTCAAATGTAGAAGCTGGTTGGTGTCGTTGTTTGAAGGTATAGTGCGTTGAGAAGGGGCCAGTGTGACCAAGGCTGTGTGTGTATGTCTGTATCACTGTTAATATAATTTTGTACAGTACGTATATTAATTCCAGTGTGCCTACTGTTTCATTTTTCTCCATCCCATCATACATCTGGCGAAGGCAACAGCATGACAAATTGACAATGCTGCCACCGAATGAGCCACACCCCACTAGCCACACCCCACTAGCCACACCCCACTAGCCACCTATCTCTTCCAACCAGCAACGCACTTCCAGACGCTCCAACAATTGTCCCCGCTCACTGAATAGCCATTGTCAAATAAATGTTCCAATCGATTGTGCAAGTCCGAAGTCACAAAGCCATCCTGCCCCACTCGCTCGCCTCATAGCTCGCCACTCGCTCCTGCAACCCCCCTTCCTTGGCTGCTACCCGCTGCTCCATCTTGCCCCTCTTTGCTCCCCTCCTTCCCCACCAGTCTCTTCCACAAACCCCTTGCTAGTAGCAAGTGCTAAGGTGTTGCGGTGGGATCGGCTCGCTTGGCGATGGTGATGCGCCCGCCAGCCATAACAATCATCGCCCTCCACTGCTCCATCTTGCCCCTCTTTTCTCTCCTCCTTCCCTACAAGTCTCTCCCACAAACCCCTTGCTAGTGGCAACTGGCTAAGGAGGAGCAGCAGGGTCAGCTCGCTTGGCAATGGTGATGCGGCTGCCAGCCATCGCAATCATGGCCTTGAGCTGCTCCATCTTGCCCCGCTCGCTCTCTTCTCTACCTGTTTCTCTCTAAGGAGGAGCAGCAGGGTCAGCTCGCTTGGCAATGGTGATGCGGCTGCCAGCCATGGCAATCATGGCCTTGAGCTGCTCCATCTTGCCCCGCTCGCACTCTTCTCTACCTGTTTCTCTCTAAGGAGGAGCAGCAGGGTCTGCCCTCTTGGCAATGGTGATGCGCCCGCCAGCCATGGCAATCATGGCCTTCAGCTGCTCCATCTTGCCCCGCTCGCTCGCCTCATAGCTCGCCACTCTCTCCCTCAACCCGCCTTCCTTGGCCGCTGCCCGCTGCTCCCTGCGCGCCTTCTCCCGGGCCAGCCTGGTTTGGGGAGCAAGGGGGTGCAGAAAGGTGGATAAGACAAGGACTAGAATTAGGGGCAAGGACAAGCGCGAATGGATATCATGGCGCAACACGTTTCCTTTTTCCACGCATCACCTCACACTCTTTGCTCTTTCCGCTACACATCACCTCACACTCTTTGCTCTTTCCGCTACACATCACCTCACACTCTTTGCTCTTTCCGCTACACATCACCTCACACTCTTTGCTCTTTCCGCTACACATCACCTCACACTCTTTGCTCTTTCCGCTACACATCACCTCACACTCTTTGCTCTTTCCGCTACACATCACCTCACACTCTTTGCTCTTTCCGCTACACATCACCTCACACTCTTTGCTCTTTCCGCTACACATCACCTCACACTCTTTGCTCTTTCCGCTACACATCACCTCACACTCTTTGCTCTTTCCGCTACACATCACCTCACACTCTTTGCTCTTTCCGCTACACATCACCTCACACTCTTTGCTCTTTCCGCTACACATCACCTCACACTCTTTGCTCTTTCCGCTACACATCACCTCACACTCTTTGCTCTTTCCGCTACACATCACCTCACACTCTTTGCTCTTTCCGCTACACATCACCTCACACTCTTTGCTCTTTCCGCTACACATCACCTCACACTCTTTGCTCTTTCCGCTACACATCACCTCACACTCTTTGCTCTTTCCGCTACACATCACCTCACACTCTTTGCTCTTTCCGCTACACATCACCTCACACTCTTTGCTCTTTCCGCTACACATCACCTCACACTCTTTGCTCTTTCCGCTACACATCACCTCACACTCTTTGCTCTTTCTGCTACACATCACCTCACACTCTTTGCTCTTTCCGCTACACATCACCTCACACTCTTTGCTCTTTCCGCTACACATCACCTCACACTCTTTGCTCTTTCCGCTACACATCACCTCACACTCTTTGCTCTTTCCGCTACACATCACCTCACACTCTTTGCTCTTTCCGCTACACATCACCTCACACTCTTTGCTCTTTCCGCTACACATCACCTCACACTCTTTGCTCTTTCCGCTACACATCACCTCACACTCTTTGCTCTTTCCGCTACACATCACCTCACACTCTTTGCTCTTTCCGCTACACATCACCTCACACTCTTTGCTCTTTCCGCTACACATCACCTCACACTCTTTGCTCTTTCCGCTACACATCACCTCACACTCTTTGCTCTTTCCGCTACACATCACCTCACACTCTTTGCTCTTTCCGCTACACATCACCTCACACTCTTTGCTCTTTCCGCTACACATCACCTCACACTCTTTGCTCTTTCCGCTACACATCACCTCACACTCTTTGCTCTTTCCGCTACACATCACCTCACACTCTTTGCTCTTTCCGCTACACATCACCTCACACTCTTTGCTCTTTCCGCTACACATCACCTCACACTCTTTGCTCTTTCCGCTACACATCACCTCACACTCTTTGCTCTTTCCGCTACACATCACCTCACACTCTTTGCTCTTTCCGCTACACATCACCTCACACTCTTTGCTCTTTCCGCTACACATCACCTCACACTCTTTGCTCTTTCCGCTACACATCACCTCACACTCTTTGCTCTTTCCGCTACACATCACCTCACACTCTTTGCTCTTTCCGCTACACATCACCTCACACTCTTTGCTCTTTCCGCTACACATCACCTCACACTCTTTGCTCTTTCCGCTACACATCACCTCACACTCTTTGCTCTTTCCGCTACACATCACCTCACACTCTTTGCTCTTTCCGCTACACATCACCTCACACTCTTTGCTCTTTCCGCTACACATCACCTCACACTCTTTGCTCTTTCCGCTACACATCACCTCACACTCTTTGCTCTTTCCGCTACACATCACCTCGCGCGCCGACTGAGTGACACAAACGACAATCACCTAGCTTGGGGATCCACTCCCCCCTCCCCCCGCACATCCCCCTCGCTCATCCCCAAGTCACGCCTCTGCCCCCTCGCTCGCGCACTCTCCCTCTCCCACTTCTTCACCATCCTCTCTGCTGCTCACCTGGCTTGGAAGTCACCCCCTTCCCCCAGCACTTCCCCCTCGCTCATCCCCAAGTCAAAGCTCTGCTCCCTCTCTCTCTCTCGCACTCTCCCTCTGCTGCCACAGGAAACTAAAGATTCGACCCAGATCCAGCAGAGTACATTGATGGTACTTTTGGGAATTCTCAAAAGTACCATCAACGGAGATTCGACCCAGATCCAGCAGACCACCAGGCGCGTCCTATTATCCACTATTTGCTATTTCGTAGGTGCCTAGGCTAGGTAGGGATCAGGCAGACAAGGAAGCATCATTCCCTTCATCTCTAGCCTCCCCCCTCACCTGGCTTGGAAGTCATCCCCCCCGCCCATAACATCCTTCTACTTCATCCCCATCTCATGGCTCTGCTCCCTCTCTCTCGCACTCTCCCTCACCTACTTCCTCCCCTCTCATATAAAAGATTAACCCCTTGCCCATCACATGTGCTTCCCTCACCTGGCTTGGAAGTCATCCCCCCCGCCCATAACATCCTTCTCCCTCATCCCCATCTCAGGACTCTGCTCCCTCTCCCTCGCACTCTCTCTGCGTCGCGCCATTCTTTCAGCAATCACCGCCTCGCGCCCCGTCTCCCTCGGAACCACCTCCTCAAGTCGCATCGCCTGCCGCTCCCTTTCCCGCTTCCTCTCCATCCTCTCCCTCGCTTTCCTCTCCGCCCTGCTCTCCTCCTCATCCTCCCCTTCCAACCCTCCTCGCCCTCCTCTCCCCCCACTAGCTCCCCCAGCGCCCCAGGGAACCATTCCACACACCCCCACTCCCCCCGCCCCCCCTGACCCCCCAGCTCCCCCCTCTCCCCCCGCGCCTGCTCCCCCCGCTCCCCCCATTCCCCCTGCTCCCCCTGCCCGTCCTCCAAGCCCCCAGTCGTGGTTGGAGCGAGGAGCAGCAGCAGCAGTGATTGAGCCGTCATAGTAGTTGGGGGGGAGCTTCCCGGCGTTCCACGTGCGCACAAAGAGGGAGAAGAGGTCGTGGGTCTGCTCTGAGGTGAGCGAGGAGAAGAAGAGGCGCTTGGCTTGCAGCAGCCACGTGGAGAACTCGGGGTTGCGTGCGAAATAGTCTGTGTCGGAGATTTGGAGCACCTGGAGGAGAAGGGAAGAGGACAGGGAGTGGAAGAAGAGAGGGGAAGAGGACAGAGAGGGGAAGAGGACAGAGAGGGGAAGAGGACAGAGAGGGACAGAAGTGGACAGAAGGGGTGCGGGAACGAGGGAAAGAGGGTGTGAGGGCTGTTTTGAGGAGAAGAAGAGGCGTCTGGAGTAGTGCAGCTCGGTGGAAACTCGGGGTTGTTTTGTGGGTGAAGTAGTCTGCATTGGAGATCTGAGGCCCCTGGAGGAGGAAAAGAGAAGTAATCGACGGGGACACGGGACGACAGAAGGGGTGTGGGATGACGGGAAAGAGGTGGACAGAGGGGGCCAGAGGGGGGCAAAGGGGGCAGAGGGGGCAGAGGGGGGCAGAGGGGGGCAAAGGGGGCAGAGGGAGCAGAGGGGGCAGAGGGGGGCAGAGGGGGCAGAGGGGGCAGAGGGGTAGATGAGAGGGAGAAGGGGGGGCAGAGGGGGCAGAGGGGGGCAGAGGGGGGCAGAGGGGGCAGAGGGGGCAGAGGGGGCAGAGGGGGCAGAGGGGGGCAGAGGGGGGCAGAGGGGGGCAGAGGGGGCAGAGGGGGGCAGAGGGGGGCAGAGGGGGCAGAGGGGGCAGAGGGGGCAGAGGGGGCAGAGGGGGGCAGAGGGGGGCAGAGGGGGGCAGAGGGGGGCAGAGGGGGCAGAGGGGGCAGAGGGGGCAGAGGGGGGCAGAGGGGGCAGAGGGGGGCAGAGGGGGGCAGAGGGGGGCAGAGGGGGCAGAGAAGAGTGAAGACAGGTGCGAGAGGGGAGTGTGCAGTGTGAGGTGGAGTGGAGAGAGGGGTGAGCAGGGACGAGGGGGGTAGGTGGAGTATAGCGAGCAGAGTCGAGGAGGAAACCAGGGTGCACATTCAATTGGATTTCTGTCAAAGGTTAACCTTTGACCTCGGGGTTACTCAGTGATTTAGGAATATCGTGGGGGGAGTGTTCGCCTGAGCAGGTGAACATTTGAACCCTCGAGATTTGGCAAATGTGTACCAAAGTCATCGAATGTGCTTCCGCCAATTCGTTTCCCCCCTCCCCATAGCTATTCCGCTCCCTCCGGAATTGTTTCCCCTTCCCCCACAATATCGTCTCACCCCCTTTCCCTTTTCCGCCACCCCAGTTGCCCTCCCCTTGATCCCCAATTTCTAGATTCAAGTGTTATCAGATTCTCCCCTGCCGAGCCTCATCTCTCACGGACGAAAAGCCCCACGCTCGCCCATTCTCAGCTATTTATTCGCTACTCGTCAACCAATCAGCAGTTCCCCCAAACATGCCGCCCAAAATTTAGCCTGGAGTCGCGTTGAATGTGCACCCTGGTTTTAATAGGGGCGCGGAAGAAAGATGCAACGAGCTCAATTGATGCGTACCTCTGGGTTGGGTGCACGCCTCGAAATTGGGTGTACGAATCTCGGGATACAAACCTCGGGATTGGGGGTACGAACCTCGGGATTGGGTGTACGAACCTCGGGATTGGGTGTACGAACCTCAGGATTGGGTGTGAGGTCCTCCTCTTCCTCCTCCGCTACCCCTGCCTTGGTTCTTGTGCCTGCCTCCTCACCACCTTTCTCCTTTCCCTTCCGCTTGTGCTCTGAACCACGCAGTACGCCCCTTGCCATACACCCCTTGCCATGCACCCCATGCCATGCACCCCATGCCATACACCCCATGCCATACACCCCATGCCATACACCCCCCATGCCATACACCCCGTATTATGCACCCCATGCCATGCACCCCATGCCATAAGCAGCAGCAAACAGGCACACGGACGGGACAGCACAGCTTCAGCGGAACCGTTTATGCGTGTTGTAAAGCGATTACTCCAGGAAGGAACTGAAGTACCCGCTGAATCTCACGACAAAAAAAAAGAAAAAAGAAAAAAAAAGACTCTTTAATCCTAAATCCACCGACCTCCCTACCAGCTTTTTCGCCTCCTCCTCACTCACCTTTAAGAAGCTTCTTTGCCTCCTTGAGAAGCTTCTTCTTCTTCCGCCTCTCCTTGCGCTTTTTCCTCCTCCTCCGCTCGTCCTCGCTGCTGCTGACGTCACTCTCACTCTCCGACGAAGAAGCTGACGTGGCATCATCATCATCGTCATCTGAAGACAAGCTGCTGCTCCGCTCTCTCCGCTTTGACTTCTTCCGTTTCCTCCTTTCCTCTTTCTTCCCCCTTCCCTCCCCCTTACCCTCTCGTTGCCCCCTCTTCTCCTCTCGCTCCTCCCGCTCTCCCTCCGCCTCGTCTCGCCTCCTCGAATCTCTCTTCTCCGTTTGTCTCCCCTCTCGTTCCTCCGAATCGTCCTTGTCTTCCCGCCCTTCCTTTCTCCTACGCCCTTCACCCTTCGACTCCTTCAATACGTCTTTATCCTTTGACGACCTCGTGTCGCCATCGCGCCTCCGCCGCTTCTCGTGCCTCCGCCTGGCGCGCTCCTCGCTTTCGCTATCTGTGGCAAGTACGGGTAGGACATAAACGAATTCGGCGAAACCAATCATGGAAAAGCACGTTGAATCACGAAAGCGTGGCGAAGAGCGAAGGACAGCGAGATGCGAGTGAAATCTACGCGCGTATTAACAAAACGGTCAACGAAAGCGGTCAATGAAGTCACATATTGACGCGACGCGCGCTTCAAGAAACTCACAGCGCGCCACAACTCGCAGCACATCGCACCTTCGCTGGAGTCGACTGCAGAGTCACGTCGCACGCGCTTATCCTTTTCTCTCACCATGCTCCCAGGTTACTATCGACTGACGAAGCTGTGGAGATAGGCAGGGAAATTCTAGGCTGACCTGGGTTCAAGTAGGGTGTATTTCCTGAGTAGTTTTTGGTATGAATGGATAAATGTTTTGGAAGCTAGGTGTATCTGAAACAGTTGTTTGAGAATAACGAGATTGCTCTTACCCTAGTTTTCCAGCTCGTCCACGTCACCACCTGCAGGTTCCACGGCACAGTCTCGCAAGAATTCGTTCAGGCTCTCGTGAAGAGAATCACCCCCCTGTAACCGCATTGGGCGAGGAATTCACTTTCGTTGCCTCGCGTCGCCACCGACACAAACCTGGCAGACGGGATGTGCAGCATGGAGAGAGGGGGACTTGCAAGAAAAACGCCGACCAGCCGAGAAAAGCCAAACGCAACAAAAAAGAGACCAGAATCATCGCAACAACGATGGTGGCCGCTATGCCACGAATGTCTGTTTGCCACGCAACGAAGATAGGGGACCACCAGCTGCCGCTGCTGTTGCAGCTGCAACGTCGTCCGATTCTGTCGGTATAACCTGGGCCCGGGCGATTCTTGAAACGTCAAGCATGATACGACTTGCAGAATCATCAGCCTCGCCTCGACGTCTCGCTCACCGGCAACACAAGCTTCCGTGCTTCCTTCTTCCAGTTAGCTTGGATTTCGCGTAGGCAGTAACACGGCACATCTGTTCTCTGGCCTGCGGTTTCATTCACAGACGTTGTTCGTATCAGAAGCAACATGAATACCAGAAGTAACACATGTTCGTAATGCTCAGAAGCTTGACCGTTAAATCCGCACGGAGCAGCTAATTTCGCGGTTCCATGGCGAACACCACGTGGCAGAAGGCGGTGCTGATCTTCGTCCTGACTCTGACGCTTCAGTTGCGAGCCGGCCGGGCGTGGTTCCAACCCACCCCGGGTACCACCTTCTACTGGCAGCTCTCCAACTCTAACCCTAACGTCGACGGTGCGTGACGTTGTAACGCGGACATGGTGTACTTCAGATCACGCCGAACGAATGAGAGGGTACAACAGGGTAACGTTTTTTTGTTGAAAACGAGTCTGCGTCGTTTTGGGGCTTGTGGTTTCAGGTAGTCGCTCTGAAAACCCTAAACGGCGCGACCCTGACTTAGCATGATGCGCGCTTCCTCCTCGCTACATAAACGGGCAATGTAAACCTCCCCCCCCCGCATCCCCTTTCTCCGCTTTCTGTGATCCAAGTGTGTGCCACGCTGCACGGATGAGCACAGCGTTACCCTACATGTCCGTTCCCCGCCCCAACCCCTCCTCCCCACCTCTTCCACCCGCCTTTCCCCTCTTTCCTCCTCTCTACCACACGTTTCCTGCCTCGTCCTCCTTCCTTGTTCATTCCACTAAGCCTCTTAACCCGCTGAACCCCCCCCCCAAGGATCAATCGACACAAGCTACCTGGCAGAGAGGTGTTTGGCATGTCTTTTGAACCGAGCCAGATTGCAAGCCACCTTGCTGAATCCCCCAACACCCCCCTCCCCCCCCCCGCTCCCCCAGGCTCCAATGACACCACGGACCCCGCGGAGGTGTATGACGTGGACGGGTTCAGTCACAGTCTGCCGGCCTTATTGTGCAGCCCTCCTTTTTTCCTCGGCTGCTTCCCCCAGCTTCAATCGACACCACTGACTGACCCAGCAGAGGAGTATAACGTCAATTTTGATTCGACTCGATCACAATCGCACAATACCTTGCTCGAACCTTCCCCCACCCCCAGGTTCTACCGACACCGCTGACCCTGCGGAGGCGTATGACGTGGACGACTTCAGTGTGCCGCCCCAGTCTCAGTTTTGTGACTTGCGGCCCTTCTTGCTTCCCCGGCTGCTCCCCCCAGGTTCCATCGACATCACTGACCCCACAGAGGTGTATGACATGCCTTTTGAACCGACTCAAATCGCAAGTCGCCTTGCTGAATCGCCCCCCCTCCCTCAACCCCCAGGTTCCATCGACACCACTGACCCCGCGGAGGTGTATGACGTGGACGGATTCAGTGTGCCGCCCAGCACGATCGCGGCGCTGCAGGCGGGCGGCAAGAAGGTGGTGTGCTACTTCAGCTTCGGCACCTTCGAGAGCTACCGCCCTGATTCTGACAGCTTCCCGAAGCGCGTCAAGAAGGGCCGAGTGTGCCTGGTGAGTGTGCCTGGTGAGTGTGCCAGGTGGGTGTGCCTGGTGAGTGTGCCTGGTGAGTGTGCCTGGTGAGTGTGCCTGGTGAGTGTGCCTGGTGAGTGTGTCTGGTGGGTGCAGAGAGCGGTTAGAGAGGGAGGGGTTGCGTGGATGTGGGTGAGTGTAATACTCACTTGAAGGTGGTGTGCTACTTCAGCTTCGGCACCTTCGAGAGTCACCGCTCCGACGCTGATAGCTTCCCCAAGCGCGTCAAGAAGGGACGAGTCTGCCTGGTGCGGAGAGGGTTTAGAGAGGGTTTGGATGGGTTTTGAGTGAACTTAATAGCCACCTGAAGGTGGTGCGCTGCTTCAGCTTCTGCACCTTTGGGAGCTACCGCCCTGATTCTGACAAGTTTCCGAAGCTTGTCAAGAACTGGTGAGTCTACCCAGTGGGTGCAGAGAGGAAGTTCTTATCCTACTGTTTTATTTCCAACGATTATCAAATCTGCTCCGATTCTTCAACCTCCCTAATCCCACTTCCTTCGCTTAAACTGCTCACCTCACCCCCTCCAACTGAACCCAACCGCATAAATACCCCTCAGGACCGGTGGTGTCGCAAGTGGTGGCCGGGGGAGCGGTGGCTGAACGTGAAGGATCCAGTGGTCAAGCAAATCATGGAGAAACGCGTGCAGGTGACTGTAGCGAGGGATGGGAGCAGGTGACTGGAGCGAGGGATGGGAGCAGGTGACTGGAGCGAGGGATGGGAGCAGGTGACTGGAGCGAGGGATGGGAGCAGGTGACTGGAGCGAGGGATGGGAGCAGGTGACTGGAGCGAGGGATGGGAGCAGGTGACTGGAGCGAGGGATGGGAGCAGGTGACTGGAGCGAGGGATGGGAGCAGGTGACTGGAGCGAGGGATGGGAGCAGGTGACTGGAGCGAGGGATGGGAGCAGGTGACTGGAGCGAGGGATGGGAGCAGGTGACTGGAGCAGGGATGGGTGCAGGTGACTGGAGCAGGGATGGGTGCAGGTGACTGGAGCAGGGATGGGTGCAGGTGACTGGAGCGAGGGATGGGAGCAGGTGACTGGAGCGAGGGATGGGAGCAGGTGACTGGAGCAGGGATGGGTGCAGGTGACTGGAGCAAGGATGGGTGCAGGTGACTGGAGCAGGGATGGGTGCAGGTGACTGGAGCAGGGATGGGAGCAGGTGACTGGAGCAGGGATGGGTGCAGGTGACTGGAGCAGGGATGGGTGCAGGTGACTGGAGCAGGGATGGGTGCAGGTGACTGGAGCGAGGGATGGGAGCAGGTGACTGGAGCAGGGATGGGTGCAGGTGACTGGAGCAGGGATGGGTGCAGGTGACTGGAGCGAGGGATGGGAGCAGGTGACTGGAGCGAGGGATGGGAGCAGGTGACTGGAGCAGGGATGGGTGCAGGTGACTGGAGCAAGGATGGGTGCAGGTGACTGGAGCAGGGATGGGTGCAGGTGACTGGAGCAGGGATGGGAGCAGGTGACTGGAGCAGGGATGGGTGCAGGTGACTGGAGCAGGGATGGGTGCAGGTGACTGGAGCAGGGATGGGTGCAGGTGACTGGAGCGAGGGATGGGAGCAGGTGACTGGAGCAGGGATGGGTGCAGGTGACTGGAGCGAGGGATGGGAGCAGGTGACTGGAGCAGGGATGGGAGCAGGTGACTGGAGCGAGGGATGGGAGCAGGTGATTGAAGGGAAAGATGGGACAGGGAGACACAATGAATGGGTGTGGTGGTAGTGATGGAGACGCAATGGGGCAGGTGATTATAGCAACGAATGGGTGTAGTGATTGCGAGGGAGACACAACGGTTGGGTGTAACTGCAGAGCAATTACTTGCAGATTTGGCAGGCAAGCGCAGTGAAGGGGAAATCCTTCTTCACCCCTTTTTCTCTGACCCCCCCTCCCCTCCTCGTCATCGCAGCTAGCAGCGAGCAAGGGGTGTGACGGCGTTGAGCCGGATAACATGGACGCGTACTGCAGCAACAGCCCCCTTTTCTCCTCTTCACAACAGCAACAGCAACATGGACAACAAGAACAACCCCCTCTTCACCCCTTTTTCTCTGATTCCCCACTCCCGGTCACAGCTAGCAGCGAGCAAGGGGTGTGACGGTATTGAACCGGACAACATCGACGCCTACAGCAACCGGCCCAACAACAAACCCCCTGCCTCCTCCCCCTCGCAACCCCTCCCTCACCGCCGTCACCCCCTTTCCGCTCTTTGTTCCCACAGCTAGCAGCGAGCAAGGGGTGTGACGGCATAGAGCCGGACAACATCGACGCCTACAGCAACCGCCTGAACGTGTGGCTGCCGCCCTTCTCCCGGAGTGTGCGCATCAGCAAGAAGGACCAGATCCGGTACAACGCGTGGATCGCAGACACCGTGCACAGGTGGGTGGGTGGGCAGTGTGATGTGATGCGTGCTGTGTTGTGTGTTGTGTTGTGTGTTGTGTCGGAGAAACAGCTCTGTTAATCATCTGCCTGCATTCTGATTCTCTTCTTCTTCTCAGTTCCTTCTGCTGCCTCAGCCACTCTCGTGAAAGAGTCAGAACTCCCACCTCAAGGGTCCTCTCCGAGTGGTGTGCCACCTAGCTGTGAGTTAAGGTAACAACTCTCCACTATGCGAAAGGATAACAAACGGAAAGCATCAGGGATGTGTGAGAGAGTGACTTTACCTGGCCTGGGCTCGAACCGTACATTTCTCAATGTGCGGCTCGAGCCTGGGTTGGTTCAATCACATTGGTCGCGTGGATTTCCCCCTTGGTGCTCTCCTACCAACCTCGCGTCAACTTCCCTGGTCCCCCAACTACCTACCCTCGAATATTCATACTCAACATTGCTACACCAGAACTACACCTCAACATAACTGGCACCTTATATACACAACCGTGCATATTCGGTGACAGTTGTGTTGTGTGTTGTGTTGTGTGTTGTGTTGTGCGTTGTGTTGTGCGTTGTGTTGTGCGTTGTGTTGTGCGTTGTGTTGTGTGTTGTGTTGTGTGTTGTGTGTTGTGTGTTGTGTGTTGTGTTGTGTGTTGTGTTGTGTGTTGTGTTGTGTGTTGTGTTGTGTGTTGTGTTGTGTGTTGAGCGTGAGTCAACATTAGCATTCAAATGTGGCGGTTCACAGGATCAGATCAGATCAGATACAACGCGTGAATTGCTCGCACTGTGCCACTTACAGCGTTGTGTGGAGACCGTGAGTCCACTTGCAGCGTTGTGTGGAGACCGTGAGTCCACTTGCAGCGTTGTGTGGAGACCGTGAGTCCACTTGCAGCGTTGTGTGGAGACCGTGAGTCCACTTGCAGCGTTGTGTGGAGACCGTGAGTCCACTTGCAGCGTTGTGTGGAGACCGTGAGTCCACTTGCAGCGTTGTGTGGAGACCGTGAGTCCACTTGCAGCGTTGTGTGGAGACCGTGAGTCCACTTGCAGTGTGCTTCTCAAAAGTGATCTCAATGCGAGGATCGCTGGCTCCGTGCATTGGTGAGCAGTGCATGGTACCAACTGCTCACGTTGCTCAACTCGGCAACTGGTGTGTATGCCAAGTTGTGTGGTGCTGTCATCTTTCGAGACGTCTCAAAAGGTGCTGTCAACTGTAGCAAGCACAGTACCCACCTGTTAAGGGTATGATCACCTGTGTACTTCGATTTGCAACATGACAGTGCAGAGGACGATGTTGCATGCAACTTTTGGATTCCTGTCACCGTGTGCACAGGTGAGTGTATGTATAGGCGGTGGTGTGTGTGGCTGCAATGCGGTGCACAGATCGTGAGATGTGAGGAGAATTCGCTCACATACATACATACAGCACTTGGATTGATTGTATTGTGCACAAGTGAGAGTATGGAGTGGGGTGAGATTGCAAAGAAGCACACCATTGTGGGTTGTGTCACGGTTTGACTGGTCGCTGGTGAAGGGGAATGGGGAAGGAATGGGGAAGCACAACGCCTGCCCTGACTTCCCCCTCCCTCCCCCACGTGCCCCCCTTTCAACAGGCATGGCATGATTGTGGGGCTGAATGAAAAACGCCCCACCATGGCAGCAGAGCTGGCCTCCCCTTTTCCCCCCTCCAGTCACCCACTTGCCCGCCCTCCCTTGGAACCCCTTTCATCAGGTACGGCGTGAGTGTGGGGCTCAAGGATGCTCTCACCTTTGCAGGGGCATTAGTCGCCAAGTTTGACTGGGCGCTGGTGGAATGGACGAGTGCAACGCGTTCAGTGACTGCCGTTTCCTTCCCCTCCGCATGTTTCATGGCGTGAGCGTGCGGCTCAAGAATGCCCTTCACATTGTCAGGGGCGCTGGTGACCAACTTTGACTGGGCGCTGTTGGAATGGAGGTGTGCAACGCGTTCAGCGACTGCCCATCCCCCCCACTCTCCCAATGTGTTCCCTTCGTCCCTTGCAACAGGCACGGCATGAGCGTGGGGTTGAAAGGTTGCTCTCACCCTCGCATGGGCGTTAGTCTCCAAGTTTGACTGGGCGCTGGTGGAGGAATGCAACGCCTTTCTCGTCGGCTGCTCCTCCCCCCCACTCTCCCAACGTGTCCCCTGCTTCCCTTTGCATCAGGCACGGCATGAGCGTGGGTCTGAAAAACGCCCTCACCATCGCAGGGGCGTTAGTCTCCAAGTTTGACTGGGCGCTGGTGGAGGAGTGCAATGCGTTCAGTGACTGGAGCGGTGGGGAGTGGTACAAGGGCAAGTACGAGTGCGACTATGCCAATGTGTTTGTCAAGGTGAGAGGAGAGGAGGGTGGGAAGGGGGAGGGAGGGAGGGAGAGAGGAAGATTGGGGGTACGTATGTGGGAGGGTGGTACAACAGCAAGTACAAGTGGGACTAAGCGAACGTGTTCATCAAGGAGAGAGAAGAGGAGGGTGGTAGCGGGATGGGGAAAGAGGGAGTGCAACGCCACCTTTCCTGACGGGCCTCATATTCTGACTGACTGGTCCTTTTGGCTGGAGCAGCGGCGGGTGGTACAAGTCAAGGGCCGACTATGCCAACGTGTTCATTAAGGCGAGAGGAGGGGAGGGGAGGGAGAGGAGGGATGCGGGGAAGCGGGGGGTACAGCTCCTTCCCTGACTACTCCCCTTTTCCTGACCGCGCTGGTGGAGGAGTGTAACGCATTCAGTGACTGGAGCAGTGGCGGGTGATACAAGGGCAAGTACGAATGTGACTATACCAGTGTGTTTGCGACAGGGAGAGGAGGGGGGAGGAGGGACGGGGGGGAAGAGGTAGAACGGAGAACGCATGCAGTGGTCTCCCCAATGCTCCCGCCTCCCAGGCGAACATGGTAGTGCGTGCAGTAGAGTACACATCAGTGCGACCTTCTGGGTCCCCGTTCCCTCACCCCCACTTCCCCCACTCCCCCTACCCACCAGGCGAATAAGGCGGTGTTTGTGGCGGAGTACACATCAGCGTGGGGCACGACTGCAGGGCGGGAGAACGGCATTCAGTTCCCTCAGGTACGCCCTGCAGCTCCAGGCAGCACGCACTCGAGGCCCTTAGGGAATCAAACAGCCACTCCACCGATTTGCTCCTGATAGGTTCTTCGGTGCTTGAATTGCCACATAGAAAATCCCTTGACTTTGTATTGCGCTAAGGATTTTTTTCAACGCTCTGGGTCATTTGACTAATTGCATTGACAACTGTTACTTTGTTTGTGTGTGTGTTTTGTTTGTTTGTTTTTTTTTTTCTCTCCATATTGTGTGCCTTAGAATGCAGTCGTGCAAGCGATTAACTTTCTTACGGGCCTGACAGAAGTGTTGACACGGCCTGTGACATCAGGCCTAACTTTCCCCAACCCGCCACCCCTCCCCCCACCTCCCTTGTACCCCCCCCCCCCCCCCCGCCCCCCCCCCCCTCCCTCCCCCTTCCCACACCATTCTCCCTGTTCCCCCGGCTATGTGCTCGTGGCTCGACACGTCTCATCATGTCTCCCTCCCTCCACCGTCAAACGCAACGTGCACATCTTCTGCACGTGCCTGGGCTGACAAGACGTGATTCTTCTCTCATCATCTCTCTTTCCTTCTCTTCCAACCCTCTCCCCTCCCTCCTCCCCCCTTCCCATCCCTCGTTCATCGCCTGCAGACAGCAGTGCCCACGGCTTCTCCACATGCCTGCAGACAGCAGTGCCCACGGCTTCTCCACATGCCTGCACGATTTGGACCTGGGCCCCACCAGGTTCCCCTGGAAAATCACTCTTGAGATTTCTCAAAAGTGACTCCTCCGCCCGCCTGCTTGACCCAGACCCCGGCCTCACCTGTTCCCCTGGGCCGACTGCCTCCCCCACCTCCCCAGACTCACACCCTCCCCCCTCTCCCCCCCTCCTCTCCCTCCTTCCCTCCGGCCTCTTCGATCCCTTCCCCCCCATCCCTCTCTCAGCACCTGTGTGCGGACAACAATGCACACGGCTTCTCCACGCGACTCCACGACCTGGACCTGGGCCCCACCAAGTTCCTGTGGGCGGACTGCCTGCAGCCCCCCTGACACTCACGCCCCCCCTGCTTCCCCCTCCTCTCCCCCACCCCCTCCCTCTCTCAGCACATGTGTGCAGACAACAACGCACACGGATTCTCTACACGTCTGCACGACCTTGACCTGGGCCCGACCAAGTTCCCCTGGGCGGACTGCCTGCAGCACCAGCCAGCGGGGTGCGCTGCTGCTGCCTGGCAACTTTGCGTGCAGCCTGCGGTGTACACCGGGTTTAATCAGCGTGGGAAGGGTATGAATGGTGCGGATCAAATAGGACAATGCGTGCGCAGTAAAATATCCAGCTGTACATATGAGTAATATTTTTCTTTCTTTCTTCCCTCGTGCAATGTTCCTCACATGGTACGGCAATACATTTATTTATCTGTATTTATGTACATATGTAAGCAGGCCTTTGAATGCACTTTGACTCAATGGGTTGACTGTTCCTGGCCTTCAATACCTGATGGCCTGCATACATTGGAACATGATAGTGCGGAAAGGTCTTAAGTCTTTATTTGAGTAGGATTAAACAGCACAGTAGTAGTAAGTGTGACATAATCATAGGGCATTTTCAGACACTATTGTTTTAGAATATCCGTACTTAAGCGAGTCATTCCGCAGTTACCGCGTTGACTGGTTTGGCCTAAGTTTTCGCTCCGAACCTCTTCCGAGCCTCCCCCGCACCTTTCGCTGCTTTCCGAGCCTCAAATGTTCCGAGGTGTCTCGCCTAGCTCGACTTTGCCTACTTATACCTCGTTATTCTTCCATTCATTACTCTCAGTAGTTCAGTACATGAATATCTGTAGTTTCCTACCGTGCTGTTCAGTTCGTTTCCAGAACCCACCCACCCACAACACTTGTGCTTGCTTTCCTTTGTCCCTACTCTCGCTCGCCCACTCACTCTCCTGACAAGTTCCACTTCGCATCAAACCTTGTCTTCAATCGCTACTTTCGAAAAGGAGATCGCACATTAATACCTCCTTTTTCAAATTCTCTACCTTGTTTCCCGTCATACCTGCTCACCAGCTCGCCTCGTTCTCTCTCCCTTGGTCTCTCTCCTCGTCGCACCCGGTTCCCCCTCTTCCCCGCATGGTAGCGACTGCTGCAATGAGCGCGAGAGCCGCCATTACCGCACGCGCTGTCAATGCCGCCGCGCCACGCGCAATGTCCGCCTCGCCCGCGCTCAGCGGCATGAGTTCGCGATCCGCTGTGACCGCATCCGCGTGCTGCCGGCCGCGCAGCTGCCTCCCTGCCGCCCCTGCGCGCCGATCTCTGTCGCCCCGCGATGCTGTCATCGTAGCCGTCCATCCGCACGAGAACGGACGGTCGATGCCGCTGGGAACAGGCCGAAGCGGCAAGGCAGCGCAATTCCCGGCGCGGATCGCGGGGATTACGGAGCCACAAAGCCTAAGCACAGCTGCTTCGAGTTACTCTCAAGCAGGAGCGTCGAGCGGTGGAGAACGGTGCAGGACGGTACGGGTGCGGGCAGAGAACACAGAGACGGGAGGGGGAAGTGGTGGGGGAACGGGCGGCGGGGAAGGCGGAAATGGAGCGGGAGGGGGAGGGGGAGGGGGAGGGGGTGGCAATGGAGACAATAAAGACTCGGTTTGGGGAATGTGAGTGTAATGTGCGGCATGTGAAGGGCGATATAAGCTTTTTACCAAATCTGACTTACGGGCTAGTGTGACGTGGCATGCACACTCTACTAGACACTCAGCACGCATGGGGCGCAGCACGCATGGGGCGCAGCACGCATGGGGCGCAGCACGCATGGGGCGCAGCAAGCGTCACGCCTGTGCCCCTCTTCCCATGACGCGCCCCCGTGCATCCCCATAACTGTCTGCACCTGTTGAGCCTCTTTCTGTGTCCATGCTGCACCTGGCACGCCCATGCTGCTCAACCCCGCGCCCCTCTCCTTCCTCACCTGCCCCTTTTGTCCTCCTTGCACCCCCCTGCACCCCACTGCACCCCACTGCACCCCACTGCACCCCCCTGCACCCCCCCGCTCCCCGTCAGGTACCTGCATCTGCTGGACCGCCACCCGCTCGCGGTGAAGGCGGGCACGTCCATGCTGCTCAACCTGCTGGGGGACCTCTTCTGCCAGGTGCGTGCCGGGGGGGGGGGGGGGGGGGGGGGGGGGGAAGGAACGAAGAACGGGGGTGCGTGGGAAGTCATGGCACCAGTATGTGGCCCAATTGATGTTAGAGCTTGAGCTTAGAATTCATGCATTAGTAATGAGCTCAAGGCTCTTTAAGTACATTGGAAATGGGCAAGGTAAAGGTGGGGAGAGAATCGGGGACAATCCTAGGGAATTGGAGGTAATCTCAAGGTAATCTCCAATTGGTGCGTTGGAGATTGTTTGGAGATCACATTTGGGTTTGGTTGGGATGTGGGTGTACACCCAACCAAACACAAAGTACAAACTACACTAAACTAGGATATAAAATGTATAAGTACAAATGTGAGATTGAGGGCTAACATTAACACCCCCCCATAGGCGTCAATCGAACTCATGGGAGAGAAGACGGAGCGCAGAGCCCCATGGTGCCTGGGAGGCGATGGTGAGGAACCTTTCCAAGGGGCTTGATGAACAGATCAGCCAAGTTGCAGTCAGAGGCCACATACTCCACATTGAGCTGCTTCCGCTGGACAAGGTCACGGATGAAGAAGTGCTGATGTTCGATGTGCTTGGTGCGAGTGTGGTACACGGGATCCTGGGACAGGTGGATGGTACTCTAGTTGTCACACTAGAGCATGGGAGTGGGCTGAGGGTAGCCAAGCTCCTGGAGTAGGAAGGTGAGCCAGCGGGCCTCCTGAGCCGCCATGGTGCCAGCGTAGAGCTCGGCCTCACAGGAGGAGAGGGAGACTGCTGACGTTGGGTGGAGCACCAGCTGACAATTCCGCTCCCAAGGGTGAAACAGTAGCCTTGGGAGGAGCGTCGGTCGGTCTGGTCATCAGCCCAGGAAGAGTCTATGTAACCTTCCAGGCGAGGAGGAGAAAGCCCACCAAGGGAGAGGACATGAGACTTGGGGCCCTGCAGATAGCGCAGCACCCGCTTTGCCACTTTCCAGTGGAGGTCAGTGAAGCGTCCAGGAGCCACATACCGAGAGAGGACACTGACAGGGTATGCCGGGTCAGGCCGGGTACACATCATGGCGTACATGAGGGACCCAACAAGTTCTGGGTATGGCTCAGTGCATGCCTCTGGTGTGGGTACAGCTGGGGCGGTGAGGAGGTGTTGCAGCGGCAGGTGGGTGGCCGTAGGTGTGCACAGCTCTCAAAGCGCTTGAGCACATTGTTGATGTAGAACTCCTGGGAGAGTGAGATGGTGCGAGCCTGGCGATCGCGAGTTATCTCCATCCCGAGGTAGTACTTGAGGTCACCGAGGTCTTTCATCAAGAGGGTTACTCAGAGCTGCCTGGACAGAGGTCATCTGGGCCGGGTCTTTGGCAACGAGGATGAAGTCATCGACGTAGACAAGGATGTAGAATGGCTCAGAGTGACGACGGATGAAGAGAGTTGGGTCAGCAGATGATGGGTGAAAGTTCAATGAGAGAAAGACTTCTTTCACTTTGTTGTGCCATTCACGAGGGGCTTGTTTGAGTCCGTAGACAGGGCGATTCAGCTTCCAGACAGTGTTGGGAGGGAACTCTTCTGGAAAGCCTTCAGGTCGATCTATGAACACTATCTTCTTGAGGCGTCCTTGCAGGAAGGCCGATGAGGCATCCATGGATTTGATCTCGAAGTCTTCTCGTGATGCTATATCCAAGAGCGTACGAACGGTGGGAGGTTTGGATGTGGGAGAGAATGTCTTGAAGAAGTCAAAGTACTGCTGCTGAGTGAATCCCTTGGCCACGTAGCGTGCTTTGAACACTGGGGCCTCGTCCGGAAGCTGTTTCACTCGAAACAGCCACTTGCCCCCAACGATGAACTCGTGGTGGTGGAAATTCGCCGTCGAAAGAGTGGTTGCGAGTGAAGGCTTCACACTCAGCTTCCATGGCAGCACGCCACTCGGCAGCATGGGACCCGAGAGAGCCTCTTGAACGGTCAGAGGGATGGGGATGGTCGGATTCTCCGAGAAGTTGAGTGAGGGTGATTCAGTGATATCGGGGAAGATGTGCGAGAGCTGAGGAGTGACAGCGTGGAGATCACACAGCTCCTCATGCCTGTCTTCCAGAAGGGTAGAGGGCACATCCCCCCCAGCAGGAGGAGTCGGAGTGATCACTGAGCATCGAATGGCAAGTGCCAGTGGAGGAGCAGCCCCATGCGACCTAGTGTCATGAGCCAACGGAGAAGAAAGTGGAGTGGGCGGCACTGGAGGTGTTGGTTTAGGGGGTTTGGGCGGATGGATCGGCCGTCGCTGGTACGTGATCAGTTCGGGCGGTTGTGGGGGAGCGTTTTCCTGAGTGGAAGGGGGAACAGGGGGAGGAGGTGGGGCTGGAGGGTTTGACCGCCGATGGTATATGATTGGTGCGCTTGGTGGTGGGAGCGTAGTTGGTGGAGTGGGAAAGGGGAGAGATTAGGGAGCAGTTGCCGAGGACACCGGTGAGGTGGAGTGGGATTGTGTGATGGCAGGGGAGGTAGGAGGTGAGGGAGCTGGTGCAGGCGGAAGTTCAAGGGGTGCATCAAAGTCAGCCCACACAAGAGAGGGTGATCCGGAGGAAGGATCCCCCTCCGAAGAGGAGTAGAAGGGGCGAGTCTCGTCGAAGACGACGTTGCGGCTTCGGATTAATTGTTGAGTAGAGGGGTTGAAGAAGAGGTAGTCAGGGGAGTCAGTGTTATGCCCAAGTTAGATGCATGTTTGAGTTTTGGGGCCGAGCTTGCCACCTTGCTGTCGTGGAGCCTGAGGGTTGAGGAGGACATAGGCGATGCACCCCCATGCGCGAAGGGGGCGAGCAGTGGGTGTTTTCCCGAGCCAGAGTGTGGTGGGAGTGGTGTCAAGAAGATGCGGGTGGGGGTAGAGGTTGTAGAGGAGGGCGGCATGGCAGAGGGCGTACCCCCAAAGTGAGAGTGGTGCGTTGGAGTGGCTGAGGAGGCAGCGGGTGATCTGTGCCAACGTGTGGTTGCGACTCTCTGCGATGCTGTTTTGCTGCGGGCTGTCAGGAAGGGTGAAGTTTTGTAGAATGCCTTCTGAGGAGCAGAATGTCTTGAGCTTATCATTGCAGAATTCACTAGCACCATCTGAATGGAGGCGCTTGACCTTGCGGTCAAAGGTGGTCTGTGCCAGATTGACCCACGCCATGATGACCCCTGGAGCCTCAGCCTTATTGTGCAGGAGGTGCACAGAGACGTAGCAGGAGTGGTCATCAACTAAAGCAAGAAAATATCGATAACCGCCTCGTGCGGCAACAGGGGCAGGGCCCCAGAGGTCCATGTGCACTAGGTCTAGTGGGGCTGCATCGACTGAAGGTGAGGTAGGGTGGGGTTGTTGGCGTAACTTGCTCTTGGTGCAGTCAAGGCACATAGGAGCGGGAGACTCAGGTGGTGGAGGAAGTGAGGCTAGTAGGCCGAGAAGAAGCTTCTTGGAGGCCATGTCAGCAAGCGTGCGGAAGTTTGGGTGCCCGAGCCGATGGTGGTAGAGGATGGTCGGGTTGGAGAAGCTGCGACATGAGCATGGTGTGATAGCAGCCTGTGCTTGGGAGGTTGACACTTGTTGGATAGGTACTCGCAGCGTGTTAAGGCCGCTGCTATTGAGGGTGAAGCGAGCCAAGGCCTTGTTGGTGAGTGGGTCGATGATGTCACAGTAGTCCTTGTTCTCCGAAAATTTGGTGCGTAACTCCGCCTCTTGAATTTCTGTTTGAGCCACTAGATTGTGGCGTAGTGAAGGCACGTACATGCTAGTGACAGTGCCGGATGGGAAGGCAAGGCATAGGACAGTGGACGAACCCTTGGCAAAGGTGGTGAAGCTTGAATCAGTTCCCAAGAGAGGATTAGGTGTTGAATAAGGTTTGAAAAATAGTGTCTCCTTGAGCATTGTGTGGGTGGCCCGCTGTCGAGTGTAAACTCTATGTACTGTGATGCCTACGGTGAGCCGATATACTGCGAGGTTGCTTCATTGATCATGGCGGTACCAGGGATTAACAAGTTGATGGTTGCCGAGGCGAAGGCCATGGTGAAGAACCTCTTTCTCGCGCGAAATGTCTCTCTTAAGTCACCGATAAAAACTTCGGGTTTAGGGTTTACGAAGGAGAATTGCTAAGTAGGGTTTATGAAGGAGAAGTTTGAGGAGAGGTTTAGCGATTTCGAAATCCGAAGGTCCCGAAGAGCGAAGAACGTTAATGTTGGCCGCGTCAGGATGTCTCATAGAAGGTTAAAGGCTGACGAAAATAGGTTGAAACGTCTGTTTTTGGTAGTGTCAACTAACTACTAACCCTGTTCCCACACACCCCCCCACACACCACCCTTAGCTTCGCGGCTACACTGCTGCTCAGCTTCACTGCTACACGGCTACTCAGCTGTGCAGCTTCACCTGTTCAGCTGCGGGGTGATGGAAGTGCCGTTGCGGGGCGACGGGCGGCAGCCCAAAGGTGACGCTGTAGGGCGACGGGCGGCAGCCCGAAGAGAAGCTGCAGGGCGACGGGCGGCAGCCCGACGATTGACGAGATGGGAAAAATTGGGTTACGCCGAACCGGGAAGGGCGGCGGGACAAATTCGCGGTGATGAGGGAGAGCGTCGAGGAAATGGTAGCTACGGTTACCTTAAGCGAGACGCATAAATCGGTGCCTCGTAACTGAAGGAAAGGTAGTATCGGAGAGAATCTACCCACTGAAAATGTTGCGAATCAACGGCGACGAGGGCGGCGCGGGAAAAATTCCGGCTGGGAAGAAGATTCGGTCGATAAAGGTGCTTTACGTCGAGCGATGAATGTTGAAGGCGGCTTCGCCTAAGGGTGCGGGAGAGGATTCTGCAAAGGTAAAAATATCAAGATCTGCATGTGCGGTTGAAGAGCTTTGATACCATGTTAGAACTTGAGCTTAGAATCCATGCATTAGTAATGAGCTCAAGGCTCTTTAAGTACATTGGAATTGGGCAAGGTAAGGGTGGGGAGAGAATCGGGGACAATCCTAGAGAATTGGAGGTAATCCCAAGGCAATCTCCAATTGGTGCGTTGGAGATTGCTTGGAGATCACATGTGGGTTTGGTTGAGATGTGGGTGTACACCCAACCAAACACTAAGTGCAAACTACATTAAACTAGGATATAAAAAGTACAAGTACAAATGTGAGATTGAAGGCTAACATTAACACTTGAACCTGCTGGGAGACCTCTTCTGCTAGGTAGGTGCGCGGATTGAGTGAGTACAGATTTTTCAGGCTCCTCAAAAATCGTCTCAGTTCACGCGGTTTTTATACAGGGAATGTTTATATTGCATGGAGGTGTGCACGTAACTTGCAAAAGTTACTCGTGCGAGCGAAGGTTCCAAGGCTTATCGATAGCCCTGACGAAGACACCACGGAAGGCTGACATTTGTGACCTTGGGTCTTTACCCAGTGCTGTGTTGGCGAATGACGATTGTTAGGCAATCTGGGTAGTTGGGAACCTTGATTTCTGTTCGTGGTGTGGGTTAGTACTTAGCTCATACCTAGCTGTAGATTTCATTGTGTTCAGAAGCACTGATGAAGGCTTGACGGGTTTTCCCCCGACTTGCCGAAACGTGTTTGTGACGTGTTCTCTTTGAGTGAATACAGCTTTTGCGTTCAAGATATCTCTTAGCAAGGGTTTTTAGAACTCTCTTTCTTACTTGCTAAAGCTTTTTCCTAGCACTGCTACCCTTCCTAACCATGAGTGACGACGACCCGTAGGTGCGCGGATTGAGTGAGTACAGGGGGAGGGAGAGAGATGCAATTCAAGGGGGCTGTTTGTGTCAGTGCTTTGTATTCTGGTCAATGCTGGTCAATGCTGGTCAATGCTGGTCAATGATGGTCAATGCTGGTCGATGCTGGTCGATGCTGGTCAATGCTATCAACGCTGGTCAATGTCAGTGACTGCCGTATCGACTGTGGTGCTGTGGTGCGGCATATGGCATAATGTGTTACAATGTGGCATGGCATGGCGTAATGTGAGTGACATGACATGGCGTAAGTGAGTGACATGGCACGTGTGTTCCTCTGGCGGCATGGCCTGCGTGATGACATGACATGACATGACATGGCATGGCATGCTTGACACCATGGAGGGCAACACCAGGTGGTGGTGGAGGGAGGGCACGGGGTGGATGCGAGGAGGGCAGCCACCATCTCCCTGCTGGGGCTGCTGCTAGTGGGCCCCACGCTGCACGTCTGGTAACCACCCTGGTAACCTCCCTGCACGAATGGTAACCGTACTGCATGTCTGGTATATGCACTGAATGCCTGGTAACCGCACTGAATGCCGTGTAACCGCCCTGCACATCTGGAAATTATGGTGCACGTCTGGTACCCCCTCTGCACGCCTGGTACCACTCTGCACGTCTGGTAACCACCCTGCTGCTTAAGACATCACCTTCCTTGCTCAGATTCCTCTCGTCTCAGTTGGCATATGTCCACTGCAATCCATCCACTGCAATCCATCCAGTGCATGTCCAGTGCACTGGTTGCCAGTCCATGCCTGGTTTGAATTGAACTGCCTCACTGTCCCGTGTTCCAGATGCGCCATTCCATGAAAGGGCATGCTGCATTTTCCTTTATCACAACCTCTTGTTGCATTCTCCCTTGCGTGGCATCCCAATGGCATGGTATGGCATGGTGTGGTGTTGCAATCTTCTTTGCATGGCATGGTATGGCATGGCATGGCATGGTATGGCATTGCATGGCATGGTATGGCAATCTCCCACATGGCATGGGCAATGGCACGCCATGTGCATGCAATGCATGGCACATGCAGGTACTCACTGCTGTTCCGCATGGTCACCGTGCAGGGCACTCCCGGCACCCTTATCCGCCTCGCTCTAGACCAGGTACCCCTTTTTCCATGCACATACTACATCACCCCCGCGCTACATCACCCCCGCGCTACATCACCCCCTCGCTACATCACCCCCGCGCTACATCACCCCCGCGCTACATCACCCCCGCGCTACATCACCCCCGTGCTACATCACCCCCGTGCTACATCACCCCCGTGCTACATCACCCCCGCGCTACATCACCCCCGCGCTACATCACCCCCGCGCTACCTCACATCCATGCTTCTCCCCCATGCGCATGCTTCTCCCCCATGCGCATGCTTCTCCCCCATGCGCATGCTTCTCCCCCATGCGCATGCTTCTCCCCCATGCTCACGCCTCTCCCCCTGTCCACTGCTCATACATCTCCTCTTCCCTCGCTCTTCCTGTCCTTGCCTGTGAGACGGCTGCCCATGCCTCCTCCCATACCTGCGTCCCTCCTTCTCTCTCTTGCTCCCTCATCAGCTCCTCTTCCCACCGCTCGTCATCGCACCCTTCTTCTCTCCATCAACCTCTGTCTCGCTCCCCGCTCGGTTGCACCCCTCTTCGCACACCCTGCATCCCGTCCCTCGCTCTCTCCCACCACCCCACCAGCTCCTCTTCTCGCCGCTCTTCATCGCCACCTTCTTCTCCAGCCTCCTCACCCTCGAGGGCCGCCCTGCTGCCATCCCTGACGTGCTCAAGCAGGTCAGAGCCGCATCCCTTTTATATATATATATATATATATATATATATATATTTTAAGCAGTTGGCCAGAATTTTTAGTGATTGCCGCAAAAAGGTGCATGCCTGAAGCAGGAAAGGGCCACAACAGAGGTGGCATGTGCTTCCTGTGCCTCCTGTGCCTCCTGTGCAGGATGCTCTTTGCAATGAGATTACTTGCATCAAGTAGTGGTGTTTCTTAGTCGCCCTGCCACCTTGGCTGTTCCCTGGTCCCCGCGCGATCCCCCATCAGGAGTGGGCCAAGGCGGTGGTGGCCAACTGGAAGGTGTGGATTCCCTTTCAGTTCCTCAACTTCCGCTTTGTGCCGCTGCACCTTCAGGTGTGTGTGCCGCTGCATCTTCAGGTGTGTTTGCCGCTGCATCTTCAGGTATGTGTGCCGCTGCACCTTCAGGTGTGTGTGCCGCTGCATCTTCAGGTGTGTTTGCCGCTGCATCTTCAGGTGTGTGTGCCGCTGCACCTTCAGGTGTGTGTGCCGCTGCACCTTCAGGTGTGTGTGCCGCTGCACCTTCAGGTGTGTGTGCCGCTGCACCTTCAGGTGTGTGTGCCGCTGCACCTTCAGGTGTGTGTGCCGCTGCACCTTCAGGTGTGTGTGCCGCTGCACCTTCAGGTGTGTGTGCCGCTGCACCTTCAGGTGTGTGTGCCGCTGCATCTTCAGGTGTGTTTGCCGCTGCATCTTCAGGTGTGTGTGCCGCTGCACCTTCAGGTGTGTGTGCCGCTGCACCTTCAGGTGTGTGTGCCGCTGCACCTTCAGGTGTGTGTGCCGCTGCACCTTCAGGTGTGTGTGCCGCTGCACCTTCAGGTGTGTGTGCCGCTGCACCTTCAGGTGTGTGTGCCGCTGCACCTTCAGGTGTGTGTGCTGCTGCACCTTCAGGTGTGTGTGCCGCTGCATCTTCAGGTGTGTGTGCTGCTGCACCTTCAGGTGTGTGTGCTGCTGCACCTTCAGGTGTGTGTGCCGCTGCATCTTCAGGTGAGCGCTTACCAAAGCCGATGCACTAGCCTCTCTATGCTACAGGGCAAATGCACTAGGCCCTGTTACATGTTACCTATTAATTTCCACCCTGGAAGCAGAATGGTTCGTCAATTGCTCCTACACTCGGTTACTTCATGGCTCGGAAGGCTAGATAGCAACTAGTTTTCCATCCTACACTGGGGTACTTCCTTGCATGCCTTATACGACACACATTGCTGCATGAAGCAGGTTATGACAGCCTTGGTGGCACACGAATCAGAACCGTTGTTGTTTTGGGCTAATGTGGTGGCTGTGTGCTGTGCTGTGCTGCTTTGGCTGCATTGGATGTTGGCAGGTCGCAGCATCCAATGTAATCGCACTGCTGTGGAATGTATACCTCTCCTTTGCAAGCCATCGTGGTGTGAAGGAGATGTAAATTGGACACTTCTAGTGTGCAGCTTCGGTGCTGCTGCGTCTTCAGAATGCCCTTTTTGCCTGTTATGTATGAGTGAGGACCTTGGATAGGATAGGAGTTGCCTTAGAAGAGTTTGGTAGCGGAAGTCTCTGTAGGAACTCTGATCATAGTGAATGTAAATGACAAAGTTGATTAAAACACGGATTACACACATAATGAATAGTCTTAGCTAGCCATGTACTCTAAAGGGTACATTCCCTTATTTTAACTGCTTTATAGTCATTTCTACAGTGACTCTGACTGCTGCACTTATTTCTTGTTACCGAGTCGCTGCATGTAACCTGTACGTACGGTTACGCCTGTTGCCATTCCTCGATGGTGAGTCAATCGTCGGTCCAGATGGTCAATGTCAGAATGTTATATTTGTTTAGTCTGCAGTGGGGTACTCTATAGTGACTACAGCCCTGCTAGCAGGGCCCTATATATCAGCCTTTTTACGCCGATTCAGCGTTAGATCAGGCTTTTTTTTTTTTGGGGTAGGCTGAATCCAAAGTTTTTTTGTAATGTACCTTGGCTGATTTTTCAGTGTATTTTTTTTTACCTTCTCTGTTTTTTCAGCGTTTTTGTAGGAGTGTAGGCTGTGCACTTAGCCTAGAACTAAGACCATCTTAGTCCTAGTACACTGTACTAACGCAGTCAATCACGAGCGAGAAATCGAAATTTTCCTCGTGCGGCACCGCACAATTGCGCTCATATGCAAATCCGACACATAGGGGCAAGATTCGCTTTGCGCAGCAGGCAGCAGGCAACGTGTTGAGAATAGAACGAGAATGAATGAACTATGAATGAAGTGAGTACAAATAGGAAACCCTAACTGGTTGTACCCCCTATGGGATACCCCACTACAGCCTACACAATAGTATAAGCTATATATATTCTGACACACCCCCATAGGCAAAGTGGGGGATAACAAGGGGTCACAAGACCAGTCAAGCAAAGCAAAGCAAAGCTCAGGGTGGATCACAAAGTCACCACACAGTCCGAGCACAAGAGCAAGGCCAAAGGCCAGTTCACATGCAAGAGTACAGACATATATATAAAGCTAGACAAGCAAGAGCAGGTATATATATGTCACAGTACAAGTAAAGTCAAGAGGAGAGCAAGTGAGGCAAGACAAGCACAAGACCCAGCTGGGTGCAGAAGCGCTGATGGTCACAAGGCGCGAGTGCCTTGGTGAACACATCAGCAGTGTTGGCCTCAGAGGCCACGTACGCAAGCCGCAACTGCCCACGTTGCTGTAGCTCACGAGCAAGGAAGTAGCGAAGAGCAATGTGCTTCGTTCTGTGCTCCAGACGCTGCTCTCGACACAAGGCCAGCATGGCCTTGTTGTCTACGTACAGCACTGGAGGAGAACGAGGCGGCTCTCCAAGGTCAGTCAGCAGGTAGGTGAGCCAGCGAAGCTCCTGTGCAGCCATGGCCCCTGCGTAGATCTCAGCCTCACAGCTGGAGCTGAGAACCGAAGACGAACGAGTAGCCCGCCACGAGACAGAGCCGGAACCAAGGCTGAAGGTGTAACCCTGTGACGACCGCTGCGTAGCCTGGTCGTCAGCCCAAGAAGCGTCCGCGTGACCTGTAAGGACCACTGGACTCCGCCCTCCAAGCACTAGCCCCATGCCCGACGTACTGCACAGGTAGCGCAATACCCTCTTCGCTGCAGCCATGTGCTCTGGTCGGTGTCTCCCAGGAGCAACATAGCGTGCAAGAATGCTCAGAGGGTATGCAAGGTCAGGTCGTGTGCAGGTCATCAGGTACATGAGGCAGCCAACAAGCTCTGGGTACGGGCCACTCGACTCTACGGACTCATCCGAAGGCAGAGCTGAGAGTGAGTGGCGGGTAGACAGAGGAGTGGCCTGAGGCGAGGAGTACGTGAAGCCGAAGCGCTGAAGGACCTGGTGCACCATGTGTGACTGAGTCAAGGTAATGGTGCGGCGTGCTCTGTCCCGAATGATCTGCAAGCCAAGGTAGCTGCGCAGTTCACCCAGGTCAGTGCACGTGTGTCTCTTCAGCAGCTCGGACTTCACGTAGGCGAGTCCAGCAGTGTCTGCTGTGGCAAAGACCAAGTCGTCGACGTACACGAGGATGTAGAACGGCGGCAGTGAAGTGTCGGTGCGCAGAAACAGCGACGGGTCAGCAGTAGAAGGAGCAAACCCAAGAGCCGCAAGCGTAGTCCTCAGTGTGTCGTGCCACTCACGCGGTGCCTAGCGGAGACCGTAGACTGGTCGTCGGAGGCTCCACTGGGTGCCAGGAGAGAAAGTCCCAGTGAAGCCAGATGGACGGCGCAGCCAGATCTCCTCGTGCAGGCTACCGTGCAAGAACGCAGTGCTGAAGTCGAGAGAGTGAAGCTCGTAGTCGCGCTGAGCGGCTATGTGCAGCAGCACCCGAACAGTGGTCATCTTCGGGGTGGGAGAGAAGGTCTGAAAGTAGTCAGCTCCCTGCCGCTGACTAAAGCCACGAGCGACGTACCGCGCCTTGAAGACAGGTGGAGAGCCCGGCGGCCGCTTCACCCTGAAGATCCACATGCCACTGACGATGTTCGCCCCAGGAGGGGGAACCGCGTCAACGTAGGTGCCTGTGGACTTCCAGGAAGCCATCTCTGCATCCATAGCTGCCTGCCACTGAGAGGAGTAGGGACCCTCTACGGCCTCCGCATAAGAGCGCGGAGTCGGGATGTCTAGTGCATCCGGGTCTCCCTCAGGAGCAAGCAGTACAGACGCGAGATGAGGTGAAGCAGTAGCCAGACACTGTAACTCCTCCTGCCTGTCCTCTAGGACGTCCGTGCCAAGAGCACACTCACCCCCGACGGACGGAGGACAGACAGACGCAGACTCAGCAACAAGACTAGCAGCGTAGTCTAGACGACAGCGAGCAGCAAAGTCGACGAGCTCAGCGACAAGAGCAGACGCAGCAGTGGACTCAAACGAGGGGTCAGTGACGACAGTGGCAAGCAGACGCGTGACAGTAGGACTGGCAGCACGAAGGGAGTCCGACTCAGGGTCGGCAAGCGCAGGAAGAGAGGACTCAGGAGGAGAAGGCAAAGGGGCGCGCAGAGGAGCAGTGGACGGACGCAGAGACATCCGGTGCGTGCCAGGGACAGGAGGAGGACGCTGACGCGAACCGCGACCACTAGCGCGAGCAGTACGAACAGGCGACGCGGGACGAGACGCAGGCTCACGATGCTCAGCAAGACCTCCAGTAGGACCAGTGTAAGGAGAGGGAGCAGGTAGAGGGGAGGAAGGCTCCAACAGTGACTGCGACTGGACAGGCTGTGGACACTCTACCGGAGGAGAAAGACCAAGAAACTGCAGCAGGAGCGGAACAAAGTACGGTCGAGGCCGCGCGGCAGCTCCAGACTCAGTAGGGACAGCACCAGCACCAGCGCCACCAACACCTCCAGCGGCTGGACCTTCAGCAGCACCAGCAGGAGAACCACCGCGAGGACAGACAGCAGTAGTCTCAGCACCAACACCCTCAGCAGCCCCAGCTCCAGTAGGACCCGCAGGCCTAGCAGCTCCGGGACCGGCGGCACCAGCACCCTCGACGGTCGATGAAGCTCCAGCTCCAGCAGCACGCCTCCAGCAGCAAGCAAACCACTCGCGCAGCTCCTGTGGAGAGAGGGGCTCCCGCCGAGACGCAGCACCAGGAGAAACCCCAGGCTCAGGAGCCCCAGACGCAGCACCCCCAGGCCCAGTAGCTCCAGACGCAGCACCCCCTAGCTCAGCAGCTCCAGGCACAGCACCCCCCGGCTCAGCACTCCCAGGCTCAGCACCCTCCGCAGTAGCACCCCCACGCTCGCCACCCCCGCGCACAGCACCCCCAGAGTCAGCACCCCCAGGCCCAGCACCCTCCGCAGTAGCACCCCCAGGCTCGGCACCCCGGCGCACAGCACCCCCAGAGTCAGCACCCCCAGGCTCAGCACCCGCAGCAGCACCAGAGTCACCAGTAACCTTGACCGGGTCAACTGCGTCTACCTGGGACACACCTGAGGGGGCAGGAACCTGAGGGGGGGAGGGGTCTACCGGGGGGGGAACCGGCACAAGGAAGTCCGGTGGTGGGGGAAGGGAAGGAGTGCGGTAGGGGAAGAGGCGGTAGAAGGGGACTGACTCGTCGAACGTGACGTCCTGGGAGGACATAACACGACGAGAGGAGGGGTGGTAAAACTGCCACCCTGGAGCGTCAGTGGGGAAGCCAAGGAAGACACAGGGAGCAGCACGAGGGGACAGCTTGTCCGCAGACAAGTCGCGGACAAACGCCCGAGATCCCCAGACACGGAACGCCGACGCATCGCCAACCTTCCCCGTCCACAGCAAGACTGGGGACATCGCGGGCCGAGAGACCCTGGGGTGAAGGTTGAGCTGATGCGCCGCGTACCTCACCGCAAACGGCCACAGAAAATGGGGGGCAGCCGCATGCATCATGGACGTACGAGCGACATCCATGACCATGCCAATGCGGCGCTCACCAATCCCATTTTGCTGTGGAGAGTCCGGAAGCGTGAAGGTCTGGTGGATCCCCCGTGCACGTCAGTAGTCTCGCAGAAGGCGAGAGGAGAACTCCCCGCCTCTGTCCGAGTGCAGACGCAGAATAGGAAAGTCCGAGCCGAAGCTCCTCCTGAGCTGGAGACGAGCCTCGCGGATCCAGCCGATCAGCACCTCAGTGACAGCATCCTTGCTGCGCAAGGGGAGGACTGTGGTGTAACGCGAGTTGTCGTCAACAACCAAGAGGAAGTAGCGCTCGTGACCCTGCCCACGGACGGGGGCTGGGCCCCACACGTCCATGTGAAGCGTCTGCAGAGGAGCCTCTGTCGGGGGGAACTGGGAGGAGTGAGGAGCAGCCCGGAGGCGCCCCTCGACACAGGAAGGTCCTGGCCCGGAAGGAAGGGGAGGGAGAGACTGGGGAAGACCAGAGACAAGGACACGGGAAGCCATGCTCCGAAGACGGGGCAAGGAGGGGTGGCCCAGACG